CCCGCTGTTGTATGTTTTTGGTGTTTTATATTTTTTTTGCAATCACTGTAGGATAGCCTGATACGGTTGATAGAAATGTACCTGTAGTGAACAAAGTATCTATCGCCCTGTGCATTATTATTTTGATGTGTGCCATATGTGAATTGCTTCTCCCTCTTTAATCCGCTACGCTGATGCCTTTCAATGTACCCCACGGCGCTGGTCTTAAAGACTTCTCCTGTATTGAGTCACCACTCATCTTATTGACACGCTATAGTTAGATCTCATCTCATAGGCTTCCGCAGTTACTGGCCGAGATACCGCATTAGGTCTCCCTGAATATTGTGGAGGCGGGCCCATGGGCGAGTTACGTCCATGCTTCATTGCAAGATGTGCCTGTAACCTGGCTGTTGGCGTATGATTGAAAGCATGATCAATGACATCCACCCCTCCATGGAATTTCGACTTCGTTGAAGCAGGGGGAGAAAGTTCTGATGTGATCGGAAATCTGGAGTGTCCTTCGAAAGGGTTGCTGTCTGTATCTCCAGGGTATTCAGGAGGACCATCGGAAAGGCGTTCGCCACGAGTCTTTCGCCGACGCTCTCGTCTGATGATCAAGAAGAATCCTACACCGAGTGCGATCAATACACCAGCTCCAGCAACTCCTCCTACAATGGGCATGATATGGGCATCCGAGTCCCCCTGTTTCTTGTCTTCGTTACCAGAGCTTGACTCCTTCGTAGTATCGATGTCTGTGGTTGCAGTTGCGGTTGCTCCAGCTGAGCCAGTCTCTTTAGGAATCGCTGTACTGGACTGAATGCTAGAAGTGCCTGTAGTGTGAGATTGAGATGTGGAAATGCTGACAGTTCCGACGACCAGGTCTTTCGCAGCACTGCAATAGTATTGGAAGACATCGATGGCAGATTTGACGTTGCCTGTCCGTGTGCCATCGCAATAATCGTTGACTTTATCGACCAGACTGCTGGATATCATCTTGTACATCCCAGACTTTATACAGACGCATGAAGCCAGCTCTTGAGGCCCTTTGCCACATAGCCAGGAACTTTGCTATATCATGATCAGCACCCAAGGACTACTAGATGAGACATCGTGCTTACATCCATGACAGCAGTGGAAACTCCCCTCTGAGCACACTTATCAAGAGATTTGAAGTGCGGGAGAGCTGTGATATAGTACGACACTGAGGCACTACGTTAGAACAGTCTCTGTTGCGAGTTCGTCGATACTCACTATCTCCCGGAGGACCTTTAGGTGATACAAAAGAGGTCTTGCCGCTGTTCATATGGCAGAACTGGCTGTATAAGTTTTGCGCTGAAGTCACATCCTCAGAATTTGAACATGACTTCTTAACCTCCCAGCTAAGAGTCGATCTGAGGTCCTGAACAACATCGGCCTTATGACAAATACAAGGCATGTTCAGCTCAAGAGCCTCTGGACATCTCTCTGACCCCTATCGATGTTAGTCTATGCCCATTCTGTATGTCAGACTCTTCAACTATACCACTTCGATCACAGCATGGGATACTGCCTTTTGTGCACAAGGGGGCAGATTCTCCAACTCTGGAAGATCTGTAATATGCGGCTTTACAACATTCGCTGTCGGTGAGGAGAATGTGACTTGCTTATCCTGATCGCAGTACTTCCGCATCACTTTGGAAGCGCTGACGATATCTTCCGTCGCACGGGGACCGCATCTTTCTTTCACATCGGTCGAGATCGCGGCAGCAACTTGGTCTAAACGTTTTGTGCAGATACATCTCTGTAATTCAGTCTCCGAGTCCCCGCATATGTTTGAGCGAGTTTGTCTGGCGACATTGTATGAGATCGCGCTGGACACACATGGCGCCTACAAAGTTAGTATCTAGACCATTTTGGAATTACTGGGGATCATACCAGCGATGCAAATATCTGGAGATCAGTCACGTACGCCACATCTTTCGCAATTGCAGAAACAGCCAAGAAAGTCAATAAGAGACTGTACAATTGCTTCATTGCAACTTGAATTCTACAGATATACTACAGAGCGAAAAGAACCATGATCCGAATAACAACTTCTTCAGTAGCGCAATCACCTGCTAATGGAAAAAAAGGAGCATTTCATCCCGTAAACCTCTACGATGCATCCTCTAGCCTCGCTTGGTGTAAAGCCTCAAACAACGCCTCTCGAGTCTAGATACGAATGGCGTAAAATCCCCTGGGGCTAGCGGCGATGGCTTGCAAACCGCACCATCACCTCACATACTTTTCCCCTCCCTCTCTCTCTTTGTGTGGAATGTGAGTCAGGCACAGCAAACTTATTATGCAGTATAGAGTTTATCGGGAAAGTGTTGCGATGTTTTCTAGATGGATGTTGGCCGAAGAAGGAAAAAAGGTTATGGCCGAACGTGTTTCAGAATTGGTGGTGTTGGCGATTGTCGTCTCTAGTGCTTAGTTGTGGTGTTTGACCAAAGCATCAAACAAACGAGCTTCAGTTGAACTTTTCATCCTAACTCTCTGACTTTTGTCTTATTTAGAGTGCAGTGCAAGTTTTAGCGTACAGTAGAAAGGAAAAGCCTTGACCAAGGAAAGGACCTAAAATTATCACGGATTGGGAGGTCTAAAAAGCAATGTTTCATGCGCAACACAAGTTTCACGAGACAAAGCGACTAATTCTTCCGCAAGTCAACCACTAAAAGCGCTTGATCTGCGCCCAAAAAGCATTGATCACTCTTCGAATCAACAGAAACAGAACAAAGAGTCAAAGCTTGGATGAAGAAGGGGTTTCCCCATGCTCAGAGATAGTACATGGTGGGGATCTCTAATGGCATTGGAATTGGTTTCTAAATTCGGGGGAGAATCTGTTTGTATGACCCGCGCGCCACATCAAGCGTCGAGGCAAGGGTCAAACCATTGGTTCACCTGAATTTGGTGAAATGAGTCTACTGTAGGGGACGATGCAGTTGAACAAACGCCAAGATGCAAGGTCGTGACTCTGCGCACGAGACGAGTCAGGTAGTGAACACAACAATATGCAACCAAATGATGATCATGGGATAATAGTTTTCTAGGTGATGATGAAATCATGTACAACAATCTCTGATCAGATCGAAGTTGAGACATTGTTCTAGGCCCCCCAAGTCATGTTAAGGTTCAGCTGGGCCTGGATCTACTGTAGGTACGTAACTCTACTACCGCTCTCTCTACCTGGAATAGGTTCGCCGGCTCTTCATCTCATCCCGCGGCAATTCAAGCTGGGATCTTATGACGTCGGTAGCTTCTTAACACAGATCAACTATCGCGATATTGCAACGTCGGATCCGATGTGATGTCAGTAGAGCGTCGATCCAGTAGATGCTGCATCTTCGATCAAGTCTTTCTTGGTTAATGGTGTCGCTTAAACTTTGCAGTCTGCAGCTTGACAAGCCGCCATGCAACTCCAACTAACAGGGGGTAAGTGAGGTAGCCAAATGGGCCATTAAATTTTCACGACGATCACCATCCCAAGTTCATGATTGAAAAATATTAATGTAAGATTTGGTTGGAAAATTCATTTGAGTGTAATATAGTAAGAGTACTAGTGGTAAAATAGCTGGTAATTTTCCTCAGCTGTAGTATAGTAAATAGTGGTATCCGTAATCCGTTATTGTCCGGTGCCCTTTGCAGTTCCAGTTCCCCTTGATTGTCCAAAACGCCTTGCTAATACTCAGAGAAACATGCAGATAAAAGACAAAATATGTTGGCCTAGTATAGCGGCTGTTGTGCACTTTGCTGTCCAGGTACAGTAACTCCCGCTCTCAAATTGGACAATATAGTAAAAACAATGACAAAGGAAAGAAATTCGTAGAGTTGTTTGTAGTTGTGATATGATAGATTGCAAGGCGTAGCGCTTACAGCACTCGCACAATCTTGGGAACGCGATACCGTGAGGGGCTGTCGTAGTACTCGCTGATCATGCCACCTTGAAGACCCATGGGTCTCCTGGGGGGAGCTCTGCTGTGGCTTCCATCTCTTGTTGCAGTTGTCTTGCGCGAGTCACGGCTGCGGCTGCGCTTTTCGTTCTTATCAGCCGAGACCTGGCGAGATCGCTCAGATGCTAATGTATCGGAAGCAGATGTTCTGGAGCTGGCGCGGGATCGTGATCTTCTTGGGCTATCCCAGCCGGAAGGCTCCTCTCGGATCTCGTCAAGAAGGTCATCGTCGCTGTCATCGTCGTTGGATTCAGGGTGGAAAGTGCTGTTAAGAGTCTCCCAGAGGTCGAGACCAAGATCGTCCCAGATAACGACGGCCTTGAAGAGACGACGGCATGCTTGGGTACCGGCGGTCTTGTCGAGGTCGGCGAAAGACTCGAGCTCGCTTAGGCTGGGGAGGTTTTCCCATGCGATGGAAATCTGGTCGGATTGGTCCTTGAAGGGGGATCGCTCAAGGTAGTAGAGGAGGAAATCTGATGTCTCGGCCTTGGTTGCGAATTCAGCTTCCTCGAGAGCTTGCAGACGGAGCTTCTCTTCCTTGTCCTTTTGCTCCTGTTCCTGTTGCTGTCTCTGCTTGCGTCTCTTGGGGTTGCCGAAGAGGTTTGTTGAAGTAGTTCCTCGAAGCATCGTTGCGGTATTGTGTTGTTGTTGTAGTGTCGTTTGTTGTTGAAGAGCGTGGTAGTTAAGATGAGTTGAGTCGAACGAATATCAGCTGGAGGTAGGGAGAATAATATGATTATGAACAGGAATGGTCGATGGTCGGCTGAGGGAGCAAACAAGACAGTATGTGTGTCAGGTTGTTGCTATTATAAGATATGTTTATGCAGGCTTGTGCACAAACACGTCCGAGCCTTGTTTGATGTTTTTGACTTTGACAGATAACCAAAGAGAGACCAGCTCGGTATTTGTTTGACGCTTGGATTGTTGAAAAGGGTTGAAGAGGTGTTTGAGGTAGAGTTGAGATGAGATGGTTGGGGGGATATTGCAAGGTAATGTATTGCGATGTAGGTAATTGAATTGGAAAAAATAAAGGTGGTAGGGGTGCTACCCAGACGGACGGATGGGTATGGATATGGATTATATGATATGAGATGAGAAGGGAAACCCTGGCTTTGTCTGCCCGGGCTTGGCTTGGCTGGATGGGCTTGCTTGCTAAGTTACCGTAAAGGTTGGTTGGGTCGGCAGCTTGTGATGTTACTTGACTGGGGGTGTGTGATGAGGATCCGCGGCTATTTTGGCGATACGGCAGAGGTATCCGTACTGTCTAGACCCAAAGAGTACGTACTGTTTTTTTCAGGTACGTCTTTGTTTTAGAGTACGGCAGAGTAGAGACCAGTAGGTTGGATAAATAAAAAGCCAGGCCGTGCTCTTTGTTGTATCTCGGTTTCGGAAGTTGACGGGTCCTTGTTGACGATCAAAAAAGATTTGCAACAGATCTCTTTTCTTCTTGATTAAGGAGGGACAAGAGACAAGAAAGGGAGGGGAAAAGGATGTCTTTATCATTTGTTGCTTCTGTCACATTTAATTGAGTTGCTTGCTTTTTTCTTTCTTTTTTCCCTCTGTTGTCTTCAGTCTCAGTCTAGGCCAGCCAATTCCGTTAGGTTCCCTCACTTCAGGTGAAGGGCCCCCACCACCAGACACCAAGAGCGGGGGGTTTTTTCGGGCTACAGCTGTTAGGTGGGCTGAAAGATCAACTGTCTCTTAGAGGAGTCGAGTCCACTGCAGTTGCCCGAGTTAGGGGACGCGCTAATTCCATTTACCAAAAACGCCCAGAGCGGATCCGTGTCATCACTGAGAGGAGATGGTGGACGAGACGCCCCTAGGGCTTGGCTTCTAAATTAGTATTAACGGTGTTGCTATTGCTACCTATTCATCGCTTCAGTAAAGTTTGAACCTCTTTTTATTCACGGTAGCATCGAATCAATCTCTTCCAAGAATTCGGGCTGCCAAGACCTGCGCGAAGCGAGCAAGGCGCACCAGTAACCAGCCAGTTTGATCGATTGCTGCAGCCTCTAAACCAATAGGATGTCTCCCCTTGCGGGTTGAAGCGAGAGGCACAAGGTATCGTCAGTTCGCTACCTGAACCTTTGGATAGGGTACGAGGTGATCCCTGTCTGCCGCCAGCCAATGTCATGTACCCGTTTCACTCCTCGGTACGGAGACTGATACAATACTGATACTGTATTAATTATCATATGTTGGTAAATTACCCGGAAAGGAATTGTTCACGAGGATGCTTCATGATGATCAGTCACTCGGTCGAGAACGAAACTATACGGCAAAATTATGGCCGCATCAATCAGAGATCAGCTCATCTCTGAAGCAAGAGGCTATTTGCTTTTGTTCTCTTTCAGAGTCTCAGTTGTCTTGTCAACGTTTGGCTCCTGATTAGCTGTTACTCATTTGACGTGGCTGTTCCTTCGGTCCCTGATCGGCAAACTAGATCCATCCTGGCAAAGCTTTGGTCTCTTTGAATGTCTCTGTTTGCCGGGTTGAGGATTAGCTCTATTGACAGTTGGAATGCGGTATTCGTTCTTTTCTATTCTTTGTCTTGGCTCTCGTCTTTTCAACGAGAAGCGATACTGAGCGAAGCTTTCCACAATAGTAGTGGACTGTATCCGTATTCGTTGATCCCTTTGTTGGTTGACGTGTTTATTGAAAGCCCCGCGGAGACCGAGAGAAGCGAAACGAGAGATCAACCACATATGTCACAGGTACAGTATTGTCAGTGTCTTATTGGTTGACTGCCCTCGAAACAACAATCGCTAACTAGGTCCTTTTACGGATCAGGTCTTATGCAACAACGGAGTATATCTGCGCATTGTGAAGCGCTCCGTGATTCCGTCCCGTCATTAGTTTAGTGGCAGTATCCGCGTCTCCGCCTGCAGCATCAGTACGATCCCGCCCGTGCGAACAACTGAGTGCCTATGGATCTCAGTCTGCCTTGTCTCTGCTCACTCTTCGCCCTGGCTAGTGTGTCCTTGTTTGACCGGCCCGTACAGAAACTAATCTCTAAGGGGTGGGAGCACGGATGGTCACGCACACCAGCACTGCTGCTGCATCTCTCGCACGGTTGGGGCATCAGAGGAAAGAAAAAAAAAAAAACCCTTGAGATCCATGACTAGACAATTCAATTGATAGGTCGGCTTCATTTCCGGTGGCACATTTCTGGCGGCACAAACGGGATGATGCAGGGGAGCAAGACGACAACAAACACGGACCAGAACCCAAAAGCAATTAGCTATACATTCAATACATACAGGCTATATGTTTACGGACACAGCTGAGGCAGGTAGCAATATATAGAACAGAATGCAAATGCAAATGCAGGTGATAGTTGCGATACCCCAAACACTCCAGCCAGCCCTGCATTCCTCCCAGTCCCAGTAACCCGGAACCACTGTAACATGGAACCAACTGTAACATGGAACCAACTGTACCCCGACAGCGCAGCAATTTCCATCATTCTCGGCCTCTTTTTTATTCACCGTCAATGCCAAGACCTCATTTATCAACTGTAGCCTCGCTATTGTTGTAAGTCAAGAGCTACTACAAGGTACGTACCCTCAAAATGTGGCACTTGACTCGCTTTCCATAAGCTCGATGAAGCTATGTCTACACTATTCAAGCCCACATGGGGACGCTTCCCGTGGTTTGTTGGACGTTAAAAGGCGATCTCTTAGCTTCCCCAGCTGTGCTGCATCTAGACTCTTGACTCTTTGACCCTTTTTTCTCTATTGCTCTAGGATTTGTTGGCTATAGCTTCAACTGCTATCAGATCAAATGCAAGATCAGATCACTTTAAAATGTTAAACTCCACCAACAGACCAGGAAACTGTTGAGTCTGTGTTGACGAGGCGTCTGTCTTTGATGCCTCTGCCGCTTTTTATGAATTGTTTATCCCACTCTATCACCGGTTGTGTAGTTACTTAAATATATATCCAATCATGCCCCTTTCGGAGGCAGCCTCTATCAAACACCCATACATGTTCAATCCATCATCACCTTGAAAGTAGTCGTAAACCTTCACCCGCGGTCCGCGATTAGTCTCATACGTAACCGCCAATAACTTCATCCGGAGTGTGCCAAACGTTTGTTTCTATGGAAGCTTCTACGTTACAATATACACTTTCGCCCAAGCATGCAGGTCTTCGGCCTTTACCAGAACCCAAGCCAAACTCGTGCTTCTTCACATACCTTTGGACGGAAACTACCTTGAATCGCGGTTCCGCCGTGGAACGTCCAGAAGGAAATTAGTTCTGCCAATGGAAGCCCGTATACACTTTTGGCGTTGAGAGTCTATTCCTGCACTAGACCTTCGTCTAGGAAGCCAAAAGTCGCGGCCACATTCCAGCCATCGATTATCTCTCCTATTACTCGTTAAATGCAGCCAATGATATTCTTCCGTGTACTTTATCCCCAAAGAGGTTCTCTCCTGGGGCCGCGGGCCCGGTACTGACAACTGCGAGTGCGGAAGAGGCTTCAAGTTCTAGCCAAGCTTTGGAAGCCATCGAGCCTCCCTCTGCTGTCACGATGGAATTTACCATACTCTTTTCAAAATGACTGTGACGGATTAACGTTGATTGAATGACGTCCGCTCATCGGCCTCAATTGATCTTGTTGCTCGCAAACTACCGCCAAATCCGTGTCAATGATACATGATGACCGTTCAGTGGCTGAAGTCTGTTTTATTATCCAGAAACTCTCAATAGGCACATGAGAGTTCACTTTTTCGTGTCGCGACCAACATACATCAACTGTCTTGGCACTCCGAGACAATAGACAGTGGTTCCTATTGTTGTCTGATCTTGGTATGGATTTGTTTGCCTCTATTCAGGAACCAACGTCTAGATCTCCGATACGAATACCAATTAACATAGCATAAATCAACCACTGCCCCCAATTGATTTGTATTTCTGATTGCCACTTCTGATCTCTCGATCTTGACGTGTCTACTGCATTATCTTGCATCGCAGGAATGACAGTATTCCCTATACCCGTTTGTACTAATGATTATCAACTAAGCATTGGCAGCAGAGAGACGTTTCCTACTAACTAGTCAAGGCGGAGACTAGGGCTGCTCATGCAAGTCTGATCAACCATCGTCACCTTTGCCAGCCGTGAGCCAAGCAACTAACTAATACTGACTTGCCGTAATGATAACCCAAACACACCTCCCTACAGTAACCAGCACGTTATCATGATCATCACAACACAACCTCTTTTAGGAAACTTGATCCTGCTCTTTCGGCAGTGACATTCTGGCCTCTTACTAACTGTCACGTCGATCCGGGACCCCAGGATCTGGTAATTAGCGTGCGCCATACCCTTTGAGTTCCCATAATCGTCATCTCTTGGTACCCTATCACCATGCAGAAATGTTGATGGTTGTGGCGGCAAGCTTCTACGTATACCAGCAATTCACAGACTCCAAATATGCCATTGGGAATGATCAGTAAATTGCTAGCCTTTTGGTGATGGGAAAATCTGCAAGGCTAATGCACGTCATTTCTTCAAGTATCTGTGTTAGGCAGCGATTATTTTCGGACTTTTTTTGAGCAAATCCCAACGACAACGGACCTCAACGCAAGCTCTACGGTATAACGCCTCTTGTCGTCACTCGGCCACAGAGCCGAAGATACGATGTTGCCAATGTCAGCTTCAGGGTGTGGCCAACATCAATTCAGCTTCCTTAATACGTGTGTCTAACAGACAAGTGTCGATGTTGGTGTTGATAGACTGGGTCTGGTGGCTTCACAAGTAGAAGTGAGGTATGCAGAACTACCAACAAGCTCTCCTAGTAGCCCCACGGCATCACAATTCTGTCTTACAGATGACTTACTCATGAAGAAACTTTTTCTCTGGTTCTTGGCAGCAGTTCATCGTTCTTCATCAATCAAGGAGTTATACAAGTAAAGCTGGTTGAATCGACGTGCTAATGGCGGCTCTTGAAATAATGTTCGAGCTGCTGGTCGTTGGATGTTTATTCCCTGGGAACAAAGCCGTTGTGTGACAACTAAAAATGATTGTCTTAACTCATTGACGATTGACTGTGAAGTTGCAGCTGTGAACAAGGGGAGACCACGCGGATTGTAGTTGTAGTTACACAGGTCTGAGCATAAGGTAATTCTCTTAGCAAAGCAATCGACAACTCAGAACAAGGATAGTTTGAACAAGTTCAAACATCTCGCCAACTGATCTTGTATTTATCACATACCTATACTATTCGTGCTCTTAATCGTGTTCACTTTCGGCCATGTGGTGAGGTCCAAGATAAGTCCGAGGATATATCTAATAGGTATGGAATCAGATGTCGACGGTAGTAAAAAGGCAGTCTTTGAATAGAAATTTGAGCTAGGATCCAATCCAATGGGTATCTGAGAATCTTCGTCCGGTATTTCGCTGCCGAAATTGCTTTCTGAATAGGTATGCAATCAGGCAGCAGGAGACCGATGCACAAGATGCATTGTATCAAAGAGCTGAACTGAATGAATTTGGACCAAAGCAATTGAACAATAGGTAGAGAAAAGCGCTCTTGAGCGAATCATTCTAGTTGAAAGAATAGGAGCCATAGTTGCTTAGGCAGACAAACAGTGACTGACGGCTGGTGGGTTCAGTAAATGTGAATCCCCTCACTTTCTGTCACTGGCAGCTCCAGCCTGGCACTGCCACAGACCTGCCATAGCCGTTCAACCTCTTCACTTTCTTTTCCAAAAAATTACCAACGCAAGATTATTCTCCTCCACAAGTTAATCTTAACAGCAAACGCAGCCCTTTCTCCCTTCCATCTACATCACCGACTTCTTTCATCATCTGAACAGCAGAACAGTCACTCACCAACTATCCATCGTTGCTTAACCACCAGCACCAACCTTTCTTCATAAACTCTTTATCATCTCGATCACCGCCGAAATGTTCTGGCAGAAAGAACTCGGGTACGACCCCAAAGACTACCCCAACTATCACCCCTATCAAGGAACTCCCTTCACGCGCCTGCTCAAGCAGTGGCCTGAGATCCCTCTCTTCATCGTCTGGACCTTTACCTTTTTATTTTCCATTCTTTCGATCCTCTGCGAATGGCTGGACATGTTCGTTCGTGATCCTCTTCACTTCGGCAAGGCGAATGCTTGGCTCGTCGAGCAGTATCAGTCATGCGACTCTGTCTTCCAGATCACTTACGGAGCTTTCATCACTTTTTGGTTCTTGCATCTATGTTACTGTGGTTTGCTTGTCGCTTTGGATGAGCTGCTTCACGCATATGATGATCCTGTCTGGGCTTGCCTTCAGCTCTTAGACCTTGTGGATTATCTCCAGACTCTTTCCATCCGCATCTTCACTGGTATCATCTTCGGTATCCTCAACGTCATTACCAACTCAGCCATTTTTATCTACGACATGACGGAACACGGCCTTGGCTCCTTGATTGTCCTCCTCGGCGTCGTTGCCCTATTCCAGCTATACTATTACCTCTTCTTCTACGACCCCACTGCCGAAGAGAAACAGCCTCCTCAGCCTCTCAGAAGCATTCTCAAGAAGACTTCAGAGAATGTACTCCAGTCTCAAATCACCAAATCCGAGTGCGGCTACGGAATATTTGCCAGCCCAGCAGTAACTCCCATTCCGATAACACCTTATAACCCACCATGGAGAAGCAACAGCGGTTGCTTCCGAGTACCTACACCCTCTACTGGATCATCCAACTCATCTCTTGACAGAACTCCATCCCGGAGACGTCCTAGTCCTAAGTCCAACAAGCCTCCTGGAGCATCATATGTTTCAGTTTCACCCAAGTCCGCCGAAAAGCTTCGCGCTGATGGCTATGGTGTCCCAGAGCCAACCAGAGAACCAACTTACTCCTGGATCAAACCCGTCACACCTGCAAAACTCATCCATCTCCCACGTATCCAGCTTCGCGTCCGAAAAAACCCTCAGCGAAACTAGGAGGTCGCTAAAAGGAAAGCGGAAGCCGAGGAAGAGGGAAGATTCATCCATTCCATCGCGCCCACAAAGGCCCAGTGGGTCTACTCTTCTCTTGATGCCGTCGAGCGACGAGTCAGGCACATCACTGAAAACGTCGAGGAACTCGCCGCAAAAGTCACTTCATTCAGTGAAGCTGCCACTATTCAACCCATCCCCGAACCCTCAGGTGATCTTCCAGCCTCACCCCGAACACAAAAGCGTGCAGCTACAATCCTAGAAAGAGAGCGCATAAAGGCTGCCAAGAAAGAACATGCCCCGAAGATCGAACACGCCGCAATGGCCATCTTCCAGCAGCAGCACGGCGTCGAACAGCTCATAAAACAAATTAAGAATTTGATCAATCAGACAAAAGACCCTGTCTCTGGCGCAGCGGGCCGCGAACTGGAAGATTATAAAGTCAAAGTGAAGAGTATCTTTGCTAATGCTAATCAAGAACTGATCAAGTCTCGAAATACTGAGGATCTTTGCGATGAGCATCTTGCGAAGCTGGCAAACGAAGCCGGTCAGTTGAAGCGTCTTGATAAAGCTCACCTGCTTCTGTTGGAGATCAACGCCAGGAAGGCTGAGATGAAGGAAATGCGAGATTTGGGGATGACGATCAAATGTTAAGGATCAACTACTGGTCACATACAGACTGGCTATACACAACATAGACCAGCCACATACAAAAACGACTAAACATATACAACAACGACTGGCAGTATATACCAGCGCCAGCATGTCACAACAACACAATGAATGCATTTACAGGACTAGGGATATGGCGTTGGGGATTGCATTTTAATGATAATGACGAGCTACGGATACGTATTATGCTTATATAGCATGGTTGAAACATGCATGGATCAATTGAGATGGGGTCAAGGATACACCCGAGGGCTTGGTCTATGTACTTGTAACTGCGATAGATTACTTTGAGATGAGATGATGTTGCTATTTACAGTAATTTCTGTTTCACCATGCTTAAGTGACGCCTGAATAGCTATCAAAGATAGCATGACAGGACGAGCGGTATGAACTACGATGAGTCTCGACTAGTGATGAACTTCAGCCTACATCTGGTAGGTTCACTAACAAGCACGATGATGGACCACATTGATCAGATAAAATAAGAAGATTTATGTACTTGATTGTGACAATATCTTTGATTGCCAATCCTTGTGTGTAGATAAATTGGGTATCGCACATAAACAACGCATGTAGTCATAAAGACAGTTCCAGAACCGATTACTCCTTATAGACCCGTTTGTGAATCCTCAAACCAGTTCCGCAACCAGCTCACATGCAGAACAGATGATCATCAAGACCACCGAAGAATGGAAAAAGAAGGAAAGAAATCCGGTTAGTAATGAGGCGACTCTTGCTCCTCCTCGATGCCGTGAATCTCCCAGTAGAGACCACCCTTGGTCTCACCATCCTCAGCACCACACTTGACAGCTCCCCGAGCCGCCATCTCCATTCCAGCAGAGTTGTCCAGGACAGCCTTTTGCATAATCCACACGATATCCTCATCACCAACCATCAAAGCCGTGTCGGCGCGGACAGAAAACGCGCATGATCCTGACTTGACGACGTCGACGTGGCCGTTTCCGGTTGCGTACTCCTTGTCGTCTTCGCACGCGCGAGGGACCATGAAAGTGCCGTTGCGGGATCCAAAGCTGGAGAGAAGCGCTGCGCAGTCGCGGTAGTTGGCTCGCAGGGTGTCCTTGGGAGCTTCGCGGTCGACATAGCTGTCCTCGTCACAGGCCTTGATGGAGTGGTCGCTGGCGGTCCAGTAGGTGAAGACGTCTCCAGAGGCTTGGGGAGCTGAAGTCGTGACAGCGATCATTTCATCTTTGGTTGGCGTGGCAGCAGGTGGTGGTGGTGCATAGTACGCAGGTGCAGGCGCAGCGGTAGCGAGGCCGATGAAGACGGTGACAAGGCCGACGAAACGCATCTTTGGTGGGTTTATTTTGTTTTTGGTCAATCGTGGTTTAGAAGATCGTTTGTTTGAGAAAGAAGAACAAAAACACAAATCGATTGTGATTCACAAGAGTGTAACGGAGACGGGACCAGCGGGTGATCAACACCTGAATAGAGAGAGGTTGGGTTAAACGAGTGACTGAAAAAAGAAGGTGAGAAAGAAGACGAAACGAAAACGCTACGCGCTGCGGCGATAGAAGAGAAAGATGCTGATCTTTTGGTCGAAAAATGTCGAAAGAAGTGTTTCAACGACAGATTTGGGGGGGAAAGAGAGAGATAGGTAGACTACTCGTAATAGTAAGTTAGAGATGTCGGTGGCTCTAGAATTGAAGTGAATGAAAGACTGGCGATCAGACTGTTTCAAGTAGAGTGGACGAGTATGAAACAAGGATCACAATTGGAGATTTGATGAACAACTTGGTCAAGAAAAAAGTATTTTTGGATTGTGAGAATATTCGGAAAAAATAGTCCTGTCGGTGTTTTACTGATATTAAGTCTCTCGTCAAAGTCTGTGCAATCGCAAGTCTTGAAGCGGGTTCTTTTAGATTGCGATGATCACTCGGTGGAGGATTTTTTTGGTGTTTGTCCAGTCTTTGCTCACAAGGACCGGCCTGGTTGTTTCGTGTTTAATGCCATATTTATGCAGCCACAAGAAGAAGAAATGCAGGAAACAAGAGATGAAAAGTGATGGCTATCTCATTTATTGGATACTCATATTGACTATATCTGGTGTTTAGATACCTAATGTTTCGAGGTGGTGTGTCAAAGATCGGTATATCACAGAGTAATAAGGTTCAATGTCAAGGTTATAAATATCATATGTTTCTTCCTTAGAAACAAACCAGCTAAACTGTCTTGTCTTGTGCTTGATTCTCCCTCCCTTTGAAACATTCCGTGTGCACTGCCTTGGCTAGATGCTCATGCCCATGCCCCATGCGCATAACTCACAGCCTTGCATCTAGCTGAGATCAGCACTTTTGGTCTTGTTGAGTTGACAGTCTGCCAGGTACCGAGTCCCTATAACTTGGTAGTGATGGCAGTCAAACTTGTCAATACAGTTTCGATGCAACTTCCCCTCACTTTCCCTGCAAACTTTATACGTCGCATCCATTGTAACTCTCACGATAACTTCACCGTCGGCTCTTCTCCAGGCAGACTCCAGCTGCCATGCCCCGGGCCGACAGTGGAGCAAGTGACGCTTCAGTGGAAAGACCGCCCCCACCTTCAGCGGTTCATCACCCCCAGTCTAGGGAGTTTGATGACGCGAGGGGCATTGACCACTCACGGGAGTTTCAATTCCTTTCCTTTTTTGAAAATGACTTCATTCTTTCGTCCATCTTTTTCTTCAACACCCAATGAGTCTTGGCTATCACAACCAATCTGTAGAGAATTTTTATTCTACTATCATGTGTTCAATATGAATGGCTCGCTTGTCAACATTATATCGGCCGAGAGATTGAGTTGAAAGATGACGATTTATATGGTAAAGAATTATGACCCTCTTTATTAAGCCCGCCTGTACCCATTCTTGGTTCCATCATTGACTGCACTATAACTCGGGGTCTTGTTCTTGGCTCCGTTCTTGGTTCTTGGCTCCACGATGAACAGTAACAAAAAAACCTGAAAACCCAACACTTGTTGGTCGGCGCATGTGACCCCCAAAAAAGAAAAGGGCCGTTGTTGATGATGGAATGGCTCTGATGATCTCGGGTCATGTCCATTCACTCGGATCATCGGCCAACCTTTTACAGGCGGTTCTTACCAACAGGAACTGCTGAAGGGAGGACCCTTCTTTTTGACGATTTGTTGAATGTAACCTTGACTCGATTCCCGAGACCCGGACAAAATGTCTTGTCTTAGTTAGGGATGGATGAATGGATGGACGTTACTGTAACTGGGACCCATCCTATCCAATTCCTGATATCATCGTCATCATAAAACCCGACGGAATGGGTATTAACTAACAAATTGTCAGCTGAAGAGAAAAAAGGAACTTCATAGTAAGTCAATTGGATCCAGTTCTTCGTCTCGTGGCACATTGTACGTAACTCTGTAAATTCCAATTGAAACCCAATTCCTCTTCAAACTCCATCTTTTTCATTCTCTTTTCGTTCTTCATATCCAATATTATTGCCCATCATGAAAACTGCCTCTCAACCTTCAGCTCCTCACAATGCAGCAAGCAAAATAAAACATCTCGTCGGCAAGATTCGCCGCCACTCACATCCTCCGCCACCCGAATCATCCTCTGCCTCTCCCGCATCATCCGCGAACCCTTCTCGAGAATCCTCATCATGTCCAATTCCACATATCGGCAAGCACAGCCAGCGTAACAGCCGGCGTGGCTCAGCTGCAGAGGAAGAAGAACGCGTGCACGACCTGGAACTTTGGAATTCTGCCTACGATACTCTGAAGAGAGATCATGCATCTTACAATCTTGTACTGGCTTATGAGAGTATCATTTCTCACGCCTTGCCTGATTCGCTAAGACCCGGGTATAACGGAAATGGCAATGGATTACCGACTGAGGGTGAAAGAAGAGTCGAACTCATGATGATGATTGCAAAGTCTGGTTTGGAGCGTGAGGTCAAGGAAGTTTCCCAGACGGACTCTGGAGATGGTGATGCGAGAGAAAATCTGATTCAGACACGATCGATTATAGCTTCATTACTCGACGATCAGCCCAGCGCCGCCATCGCATGGGCGGGTTTCTGCTCTCTAACACCTGTAGGATCCAATCCCAATCCATAATAACAACGCTAACTTTGTCTCTAGCTACTTCTTGATCCTCTTCTCCGACACGACGATATCCGTCATGGTTTCGTCGATATTACAAATGCCATTCCTCACTATATGACTCTCCACCGTGTTCTCCATCCTTCATCATGGACGTCCCTTCCAGATTTCCAACGCCTACAGCCCCATCTTTATCAAACACTCCTAGACCTCTACCGCCGCATCCTCGAGTATGAGATGAACATTGTCTGCGCCGCTGCGAGCGCCTGGAACATGGCCGCCCGCAACGTCGTCGACTGGCATGGTTGGAAGACCATGGCCGATGCCGTGCGCGAGTCCGACGCTGAGCTGATGAGTCATGTCGAGAAGAGCGGCACTGATGAGGCGAGGGCTATCATGGAGGCTCAGAGGAAGCTGGACCCTGAAGGAGGAGGGCGCGGTGAGCTTGCAGATGACCTTTCGAATCACGATGCGTAAGAAATTAAAGAATGAAAGAGAAGTAAAACATCAAGTTAGTAAAAAACGGGCAACGGCACTGCAAAGCGAGTTTTTGTTATCATTTGTGTAACGAGTCAATTGATTTACTGCCAATAGTTACATAAGAGATCTATTCATTTTTACCTACCGCAATGCAAACTCCAGTCTTGATACTTTTTGACTACCTACCTGAGGCCAGTCGGATCGGAAAATCTGATTGCAATTTTGTACACCAACAAGAAACGCTCATTTTGTTAACCAACTCCAAATCTTGAGGGGGGTATCTCCAAAAGAGGGCCATCCAAAGAAACAAACCGGAAGACTCTGAAATCAGAGTCCAATGACGCCCGTCTTGGGGAGAACACCTTGCTTGTCAAGGTTACTCAGGCTTCCAACGTACTTTTTCAGACGTCGCCAGCGACTGGCATCCTGAGGGAAATCAATCGCACCCATCATGACTAACCATCCGGGCACCTGATCACGAGTCATGAGCTCGTACACGCGACGGACGATCTGTAGGAACTCAGCCTGAGGCTTCATTGCAACAGCGTACAAATGTCGCACCAGGTCAGCCCAGCCAGAGATGAAGTCAACGTCAAACGTCGACTCAGGGTATCGGAATTCCAGAGTGTTGTACTTGGATACCACAAGCGCACATCGAGTCGTTGTGTGCTCCATGCCCTCGTCGAATTTGCGAAGTCCTACATCGAGACTAGCGAGGCTTGGTTCCGCCCAAAGACGTCGCATGGCTCCAAGAAGGCGTTTGTCAACCTTCTTGCGCCAGCTCAGCTGCAACATGAGCTCGTCGAGAGCTCTAACAAACGCTGCACCCTCGCCCCGGACTTTTGGCTCACCGGATTCCTTGGCGAGTTTGGATTCGACACTGATGCGTGCCGAATAGGGAGATGTGGAGCGGAATGGATGACAGAGAGGATACAGCAGAGTGTCCTCGAGCAACCAAACCAAAGTAGAGACACGCTGGGCTGTCTGGAGCGTCATGTTGCCGGCGTCATTGACGTGTAAGTGCAACCCGCAACCAGAATTGAGTCCAACTACCGTATTTCCCTGCACTGCCTTGAGGCACTTTCGGAGGGTAGGTAGCCCCTTTCTGAACTCTTCAGGACGAGTGAGGATTGGGCTGTTGAGTTCAGTTCCAAACCAGTCGTATTTGTCAGAAGGTGTCTTTCCAGACTTACTAACGCAGTCTCTGGTAATATGGACCTCGGGAACAACGAACCAGGTGTCGGCCTTGCGGATTGGTCCAGCCGCATCCGCGTCCATCTTGCCCTTATTCCATACTCGAACTTGTCCGCTGCTTTTAGTGAGCGGAAGAACTGATGTGTCGGGGGGCAGGGCAGGGCTGAAAGACTGAGGCTGAAAGACGTCGCACGACACAGCAACACCAGCGCTGGCGATCATGTCGCATACCTTATGAATGACCAGGGGCTTAATCTCTGTGTAGTCTTCCATCACGAGGCCCATATAAGTCCCTGGCGACGAAGGACAAACCCATCGAGTCTCGCCAACCACAGAGTCGGAGTCAAGGATCTGCAGTGCAACCATAAACTCCAGCTCAATGCCGACGCAGATTGAATCTGGGACCTCCATTTTGACGTCCGTATCGGTATCTGCAGGGATCTCTTCTTTGTAAGGCAAGTATTTGTCTGTCCGGATATTGTGATAGCTTTTCAACGATAACAAGAAAGATGCTGCAGAGCAAGCAGACGAGACTTGAGCCCGCAATGGGCCATGATCTATAGCTGACACTTCCATCTTTGAACACGATAGAAAAAGATGAGGAATAAAGAATAATGTTGTTGTTTTGTTCTGTTCGTCTTTTATATGTCAAAGGGTTGAAGATCGTGACCGGTATAGGACTGGTGTGTCGGTAAGGTAAAAGGAACACCGGGAGGTACATATATATATCAGCAATTGTTCACCGAAGAGCGGTCAGAACCCAATAGCGAATTGAGGCTGTGAATTAAAAACTTGGACTTGCATGTGCATTGTTAGAACCTACCAACACGGAACAAGCTTTTTAACAATCAAGACTGTTGCTGTCAAAGCGGACCGGCCACCAACCGGCAATGCCTGGGCCAGCCGTTACAAAGCAAAGCATGGGACGGAACATAGGGTGATAATGATGCTTCTTTCATGTGCTAAAGATATGGTATCTCGTTCAAGGGCCATTGTGCAGACCATACAAAGTAGGTCAGAGAAGAGACAGAGTAACACCTCTCTACCAGGCTCACTCTGACTGGCCCAGAACGTGTGATTTTTAAGGGTAGTGGTAGTGGTAGGGTGATCCATGCACCCAATATTTTGACATTTTGGCCGGGGGATCAAGATTGGACAAGAATCTCTACCTATGGAACTCTACAACAATGGGGATGGCCTGTGAGTCGTGGAGAGTCTCGTGATTTCGGTTGTGGTGGGAGCTTCTACTTTTTGGTAACCCACCTTTCAGGCTGTTTGGGCTGTAGGTGTGATTGATGGATGAAGCTTATCGTAGCATTGTGCCATAGAAATGTGTTGAACAGAGTCGCCTCGGTGAGAAATAGTTGACTTTGACTTACACGAGATGGACGCAAGGGAGTGAGAGGGCGTACTAAAGTTATTCCGATGTAGCCAATCATTGAGCTGCATAGCTGTCTCTCACTAAATGCACCCAAAATGATGGTCTCCCATCTTCATGTGTTTGCACTGATATGGAGAGTAGACGAGAGTAGGTTTGGGTGTTTATAAACATGCAATAAATAATTGATCACTATACCAGACATTATCCCACTAAAGTCTGACCAATTCTTTCTGTCGTCAAAGTCACTAGTAGTCAGTTTTAGCATGCCTAGCTGACCCCGGCTCTCTCTTTGATTGATCGATTTGATTCATGGGTGGGCTCCAGAAACGCGACTGCGCGCGTTGGACTCCAAATTAATTGACAACTTCAACTTCCACTATCAAAGTTGGGCAATTATCTAAACATCCCTACCTCGACTACCCCATCATATCCGCAAACCTACTCCAATCGCATCCTATTCGAATTGATCGCGCACGAAATAGAAGCTCAAATATTGTTTATACAGCTCTCAACTTCGCCCTCCACCCCAACAGCCTGATTGCTCCCTGGGCATGCCGCTCAACTTTTCATAATGCACATCATCAAGCCTTCATGGCTAAGCCATAGCGGCGAGCAAAAGGATTTCGAAGTTTACAGTTGTCATGTTTCACCAGACGGCAAACGTCTTGCGACCGCAGGCGGCGACGGACACGTGCGAGTTTGGTCCACCGAATCTGTCTACAATGCCAACACGCCAGATTACAACAAGCCGCGCCAGCTCTGCCATATGAGCCATCATCTTGGCACCATTCACTCCGTTCGATTTTCTCCCAACGGTCGTTATCTTGCCAGCGGAGCCGACGACAAGATCATCTGCGTATACCACCTCGACAAAAGCCCTCCAGCTGCCACCTTTGGCACCAACGAGCCTCCGCCCGTCGAGAATTGGAAGACATACAAGCGATTAATTGGTCACGACAACGATGTTCAAGATCTTGCTTGGTCATACGATTCCTCGATACTTGTTTCTGTTGGACTTGACTCAAAGGTTGTTGTATGGTCAGGGCACACCTTTGAGAAGCTTAAGACGCTTCCAGCACACCAAAGTCACGTCAAAGGAATCACTTTCGACCCTGCAAACAAGTTCTTTGCGACAGCAAGCGATGACCGAACGATCAAAATCTTCCGATTCACCTCTCCCGCGCCGAATGCGACCCAGCATGACATGGTTAATAACTTTGTCCTCGAGACTACGATCAGTTCTCCGTTTAAGAGCTCTCCACTGACTACATACTTTCGACGATGCTCGTGGTCGCCTGATGGAAACCACATCGCTGCCGCCAATGCCGTTAACGGGCCTGTCAGTTCTGTCGCTATCATCGAACGAACGAGATGGGACAGTGAGATCAACTTGATCGGTCATGAAGCCCCGACAGAAGTGTGCATGTTTTCGCCTAGACTCTTCCATACCAGCAAGCCTGATCCAAGCGTCGATGACAAGTCGCCGTCGCTCGTCACTGTTATTGCTTCGGCGGGCCAGGACAAGACATTGAGTATCTGGAACACGAATACGTCCAGACCTGTGGTCATTCTACAGGATTTGGCAGGCAAGTCGGTATCTGATCTGGCCTGGACCCCAGATGGTCAAACACTGTTCGCATCCAGTTTGGACGGCAGCATCGTGGTTGTTAAGTTCGGCGAGGGCGAGCTTGGCTGGGTGGCACAGCCCGAGGAAAACGATAAAGCGCTGCAGAAATATGGTGCATCAAGGAAGGGTATGGGTATCGCCGAGGATGTTGATGGTCTCATGCTAGAAAACCAGAGTAAAGCAGGAGAGTCACGAGCCGTCGAGTCAAGAATGGGTGCTCTTATGGGCGATCTTCCTGATTCTACCAAGGAGTCGACGCCCGCCACCAACGGTACAAAGTCTGCTGCGCCTACATCGAAACCAGCTACAAATGGCTCAGCCGAGACGGAAAAGGAGAAAGAACCGGAGAAGGAGCCAGAAAAACAGCCAGAAGAGGCGGCCGACAAGACAGCTTCGCGTGTCAAGGAGCTCAAGTCTCGAGTCACGATTGGCAAGGATGGCAAAAAGCGAGTAGCGCCTCTATTGGTATCTTCATCAGGGACAGGCACGTCTTCGTTGCCGCAGACTCAATTGGTCGGAACAACGAGTACCAACAAGGCAGCTCAAAATGATGCGCCGCAAACAAGTCTTGATCTGACCAAGCCATTTGACGGATTGCCTAAGGGTGGCATTGCTGCTATGCTACTTGGTAACAAGAGAAAGCTAAACCCGGGCGAAGCTGAAGAAGATGAGGAGCCATCCACCAAACGCGCAACTATAGGGCCTACCCCTATCGTTACCAATGGGCCTGATGGTGTCGAGCCCGCGGCTCTTGTGCCTGTTCAGAACGGTGTCGTGCCTACCCCAGAGTTTCTCAGGCCGGCAGTAATGAACCCATCTATCTCATTCGCTCAGGTCAGACTGGCGGTGCCAAAGATTAGATCACATATACTTCGACCTTTGGACAGGGGAGTTCTCCACGGCGACAGCTCATTAGAGGAAGCAACCAAAACCCCAGAGAATATCATTCTCGAAGCCAAGAACGATTCAAACCCCCGAGACCCCTCACATGTACTCGTCAGCAAGAGAGGTGGTCTTATCTGGGAGGAGTGGCTCCCTCGGGCTATCATTCTAGTTACAGCTACCAAACATTTCTGGGCCGTTGCCTGCGAAGACGGTTCCATTCATACTTGGACCCCTGCTGGCAGAAGGCTTTTGACTCCGATCATATTAGAGTCACAGCCTGTCATCCTGGAAGCCCGCGATCATTGGTTGATGTGTATCACAGCCACTGGCCTCGCTCACGTCTGGGACTTGAAAACCCAGTCCTCCCCCAATCCTCCGGTGTCACTAGGACCAATCTTGGATATCGCCACAACCTCGTTGAACCAGCATAGTGCCACACCTGGCCCAGGCATTACTTCCGCTCACCTCAACTCCACCGGTCATGTTATTGTGACCCTGACAAACGGTGACGGCTACTACTACGCCCGAGAGATGTTCACGTGGCAACGTCTTAGCGAAGCTTGGTGGGCCGTGGGTTCACAGTACTGGAACTCCAACGATTCGTCCATTTCTGCCCTGCAGTCTACAGCTGTTGGCCCAGCTTCAAAGGAGGGCAAGGACAAGGAACCTGGAAAGGCAACTGTTTCGTCTGGCATCATACCTTTCCTCGAACGTCATACAACCAACGAGTATCTTCTTAAGGGCAGAGCCTATGGGTTGCAGCGTATCATTAAGATGGTTGTGCAGCGCAAAGAAGCCGAGAACCTGGAAAGTAGTGTGAGTATAGCTCATCTGGAAACCAGAATCGCCGGTGCTTTGCAACTCGGAGCACGAGAAGAGTTCCGCCTCTACCTGTTCACGTATGCCAAGCGACTAGGGGCTGAGGGAGCAAGGGTCAAGGTTGAAGAGCTCCTTAACAGTCTCCTTGGAGGTATCCTTGAGGAGGATGAGGATGAAGAAGAGGAAGATGATGGTAATGGCTGGTTCAGCAAAGAAGGCGATCTGTGTGGATGGGATCGCAAGGAGCTGCTGAGGGATGTAGTAATGATTCTTGGTAAGTGCTGGACACAACATTCCTTGGCCAAGATATATGAGCTAACCGTACAACAGGTAAATACCGTGAGCTTCAGCGATTGACTCTACAATACGCCAAGATCCTCGATATAAGCCTAGAGGATGGACCAGTAGATGTCGAGCATATGGATGTGGAGGCTTGAGGTAATTCAAGCTTGTATCATTATCAGTATAGTACTACTCCCGAGGGAGAGGGCGGGAATTCTTTTCTTGTTTAACAGACAAACTTGGCGTTGAGGGCTTATCTTTATCTATTGGGGATGGTAAAGCGGTGCGGACTTGGGGTACGGGCGATAGATTATTGTTGGTACTCGTCGATGCGAAAGAACGCCTGGTTAACGAAGGGCATGCAATCACAACCATGCCGTGTTATGGTGAAGAGTGTATTGATTGGTGAAGGTCCATGACAAATTCCATTACTGCATGAGTGAAGTAATTTCTCGACACATCGTTATCTCTTGTTGTTCTGAGGTGGTTTGTTGTCGGTCGCACCAAAGAGCCAAGTCTTGACGTGGGGAGTGATCACATGAGGTTGTTTGCAGAGGAGCAAAGAGCAACACGATATGATGGTATCGTCAGTTAGCAAATGAGTGCATCATCACCCCCACGCTGTTGTTTTCTCGGTGGACCGGATCATTTCCTCCGAGTAGAGCAAAGCTAAGCAAAGCAGGAGGTTATTGACTGAGCGACTGCCTGAAGTGAGGCTCAACTTTCCGCAGAGACTGGCACTGCACTGCAACTGCTCGCGGCTGCCGCCTGCAGCATTGAATCACCTGCCAACTTGCGTCTCCCTATTCTCGCCTGAGGATGCAATAATCTTGGATGACTGGGCTACTACCAAGTACTTGACCCCTCCTTTGCTTTTGTTATTCTTGCCATCCTATTTTCTTCCTTTTCTTCATACTTTGATTCATCACATCTACTTTACTATCTGAATCGACAACAATCACAAGACCCTTTCGCTCGTCTGAGACGACGCGATACTCTGCTCGGTACCTAAGGTGCCTTCACATTCCTTTCTTACGTCTTCGCGATACTTCCCCTGTTCACCTTTCCCACTCATCTGGTCAACCTTTGTCCTGGCCTATTCATCCTTATAGCCCTTGACACTTCACTTCTTACCTCACCTTCACCTCATCAAGATCTCCCAAGCACTCCCTTCTGCCTTCTGCCTTCTGCCTCTCATCATGGCAAGGGGCCCTCCCTTTACTCTTAGGTGGGCAAGCATCGCTGCTCTCCTTTGCTCTACCTTTTTCGCGTATGACTCTGTCTTGGCTTTGCCCACTGATCGTCCGGTTAAGGCAGCCTTGGTGGCCCTGGTTAAGGATAACGACATCGACGCTACGCTTTCCAGCATCAAACAATTCGAGGACAAGTTCAACAACCGCTACCTGCATGACTGGGTCTTCTTCAGTGTCGAGGATCTCTCAGAGGACTTCAAGGAGAAAACCTCTAACGCTACGAATGCCACTTGTATCTTTGAGGTCGTTCCTAAGGGAAACTGGAAAGCTGCGGAATGGGCTAAGCTCTCCCAACAATGCATCCTTCCGGATGTCAAGATTGACCACGACTCCTCAGCTCTCAAGGCGATCGCCAACATCCGCCAGATGAAGCGATGGAACTCGGCCCCTTTTGCTAAAGAGAAGCGCCTCGGATACTATGAATGGTTTTTGAGAGTTCAGCCAGGCGTAAGTACAAGTTCAGATTAGCGGTATGTGAGACATGGCAGATAACCAGGCGCTGATATCATACAGGCTCAGCTGGCCCAGAACATCCCTTTCGATGTCTTTCGTTTCATGCGAGACAATGGAATCGCCTACGGGTCTAGCCGAGCTGCTCTTGGTCAAGCCCGCCTGCCTCACCTGTCTCCTCGAATCAAGTCCTTCGCTGACAAGCATTCGGGGTTCCTCCACCGGGAAACCGACGTAGCATGGCTTATTGAGAATGATACAGGCATACTCACACAGACCAACTCCTTGGATGAAGGCTTTGAAGACTTGGTTGACGAGGGCAGTGACGAGCTGAGGTCGCGGGTCATCTAGGAGAGCCGCCCCATCGGTCCAAGCCGCTCGGCGACTAAAGAGTTGCAGACCAAGACGGTTTCCATCGACGAAGCCCAGGATGAAGGCGAGGCATCATCTTGGCTCAGCGAGTGCTTTGCGTCTTGGCTAGTTGACATTCTTGGAAACAGTCTCTTCCCTAACTTCGAGATTGGATCACTGGCTTTCTTCCGCAGCCCTAGCCACGCTGCTTTCTTTGATCATCTCGACAACACGGGCGACCTTCAATTCCGCCGAGTGAACGATGCACCAATCCACAGCCTGAGCGAGAATATGTTCCTCCCTCGAGAGAGCGCCTGGAACTTTCGCACGATGGAGACCAAGCTTCGCTCTCAACAGGGCGACGAGCAGAGCCGATCGGAGCGTCTCCAAAACAGTGAGAAGTGCATGATCAACTTGGATAAATCTAACCTGAACAGCAGTGTGAAGAAGGGCGACACTCACGACGCGATGGTAGCTCTGCTCCAGTCCTGGGATTTGATGGCCCGAGACGTGGGAGCGCAGAGCAAGAGTCCGAAGTTGATTTCGGGTAACACGTGGATGGGGAAGACGAACGGGGGTGCTGGGTGCTCGTTTATCTGGTTCTGGCGGAAGACACTATCTGATGATCTAGGATTTGGATGGAAGGTTGATCTTAGCTGCTTGGATGATGGGATGAAGGGACAGGTAAAGATCAACGTCTAAGATGTGTATCATACTATAGTGAACCGTACAATCAGGGGTTCACCGCCTCGCAGGTCGAGGGCAAGCAGTCGATACTGGAGATCACATTTGCTACAGTATAACAATAAGAGAGAAGTTGCTGAAAAGAACCGAGCGAGCGGTGAGCGAAATGATGTATTACGAGTGTATCCTATGGTCTTTGTGTAGAGCTGAGACATGACATTGTGCTCACTATGGCTGGGCCCGAGAAAAAAGGCGCCTGCATCGGGCAACGGCAGATGTCACACATTGCATGGAGGTTACACGGCGTCTTTGGCGCGTGTTTGACGTGAAAAAGAGGCCATCAACCATGAATGGATGTCGACGTGGCTGGTAGTGCTGCAGGATATGATATGCGTGAGCTCAAGCTGTACGTCACCAGGCGGTCTAAGACGAGAGACAGGTGACGCCATTAAGCGTCTAGTATTTATTTGGAACATGTTTGTAGGCGATGTCAGCTAAAAGCAAAAGATTGGACACTGTGATTGTGTTGTTCATCATGACGTACGAAACAAAACATAGCAGAGCAGGTTGGAATTAGCTGAGGATATGGATCTTTTGAACTCGTAAACGAGTGGAGGTCTGTGGGGTCTGGATGACGATCGGCGCCGGCGCGATCGGAGCCGGGGAGGAGAGAAGACGAATTTAGTTTGAGATCCGAGATGGACAGATACTTTCATATTGGTAAATGATATATTGTGGTTGGTTTGGGGTTTATGTATACGAAGAGATGTCTGAGAGTGAAGCAATCCGAGAGACCATCACAACCCCAGCTTCAAGTTCAAGTTCAACCTGCACACCGTTTGTTCAAGTGTTAATGCAATCACTTCCACTTCCATATAAAACAGGGATAAGCCTTGTATCTTCTGCCTTGTAAGGATATCAGGCTCCCATCCCATCCTCTGGCGATGATGCACTGCGTATTTCGTCTATCTTAACAGAGAATTGACCGTTGATGGCCCATTTTATATGACTGCACCGAAGCGAGAAAGCCAAGACTATCAAAGATCGACCGCCGGTATCCGTATTGGAAAGCTTTTTCCTTGTTCCTGAAAATGGGCTGGGTTGTATCCTGGTGGGCAAGGATAATAAGGGGCCGGGGGGCTTGGACAGGACAGGGGGGTTTTAAGCTCCAGCTGCTTGTTAGTGGTCATTGCGTATCGAGTCAATGCTGAAGCTGAACTGTGTTTGAGAGAAGAGGTTGATTCTGCAAGATGGAATTGTAGCTATTTGAATCTTGACCAATGTTATCTCGTCTGTATGAAGCTTCGTTATTAGATGTGGCGTCTATGAGTCGAGTCTCATTTTGCTGAAAAAAGAAACACCTGCAAGGAGGCATCTGTCCGGTAGTGCCCCTCCCTCCCACCACTCTAGCCCCTGATTTCCCTCTGTCAGCCCCTCAGAGCTTAGCAGTAGCTAGCTGCCCTCTAGCGCAGTGGGAACCCATGGACGCCATGCCACATGTCTTCCTGCCTTACCTGGCTGAGTATGGCATGGCATGGTCTCCTATTTTTAAAGACAAAAGACGAAAAGCCATTGGAAGTCAATTCTAAAAGTGCAGTGCAAGGGGCTTCACTTCAGGTTCCCTTCCATTTCAGGTTGGTTCCATTGGTAACTGCAACTACAACTGCAACTGCGACTGCCTGTGGTCGCACCTACCCCAGGGTTTTTGTATCCATTGCCAGACGGAGACTTCCTTTTTTGAAGTTGGTCCTCCCCGCCTCTTTCTCAACGTCCTTTTCTTTTTTCTTTCTCCTCTCCTCTTCTTCTCCTCTTCCTGACAATTCATTCTTTTCCTTCAGCATTACTTCTACTGTTTATCAAGCAGACCCTGACGTTTCGGTATCCGAATGGCGAGCACGGACTCACGACGTTGAATTGGCAGTGAAGATACTCTTCCAAGACATTTGGCTCCCGAGCCTTGGCGGCAGCACGCGCTTGCGATCGCAGAGGGGCCCTTACACTTCCCGACGATACGATAATACCTAGCTACGAGCATCGACTTTACGCAACGCAGTTATTGCAATTGTCTGAAACGATACCAAATTCCTTTATTACCCAAGCGAGTATAAGATATTTGAGGGTCTAGATTCGCTAAATCGGCACGCGAGTCATCGCAACGCATTCGCTTCTCGTTTGCTGTCGCATTGCATTTTGCTCCCAGCCAGCGTCGCAAAAGGACCCGTCTTGGGTTTCAGAGCGCATTGTACTTCAACTCACCAGTTTTACATCGCGAATATCCTCCTTTTTCCCTTCGCACTCCTTTATCGACTTTTCCTCGACTATACAATGGCGATCTTGGAGGCTTTTCCCACGGCCTCGCCTGCTAGTCAGGCTGTCTTCTTGGGTCTGAGTAAGAAGCAATGGGCGTTAACGACAGTACGATTTCCTTGTCCGATTTCCAACTATACCTATGGCAGGAACATTTTTGCAAAACAAGGTGCTAACATTCTATAATAGTTGACCTTTCAAAACTCTGCCCTCATTATTGTAAGCTCTATCCCAATGGGACCTCATTGACCCTGCTAACATTGCCCCAGATCATGCACTACTCCCGCGTAATGCCCCCCTCCGGCGACCATCGTTACTTTACTTCGACCGCTGTCTTCCTCAATGAAATCATCAAGCTTGCCGTTTCTCTCTCTTTAGCTATATACGATACTTCCAAAACCTTGGCCCCTACGACACCAGCGACAGTTCTTTTCGAGCAAATCTACAATTCCGTCTTTGCTGGCGATGGGTGGAAGCTTGCGATCATGGCTGCATTTTACACCCTGCAAAATATGCTGCAGTATGTTGCTGTCGGTAATTTGGATGCGGTACACTTCCAAGTGCTGTATCAGTTGAAGGTATGTCTCATTGCAGGTTGTCATCGAGTCTTGGCAGAACGATCTTCGCCGAATGGGTGTGCTGACTTGACCTGCAGATCCTCATCACGGCCCTTTTCAGTGTTGTCCTGCTGCGTCGACACTTGGGACCTAAGCGCTGGCTTGCTCTCATTATTCTTACTCTCGGTGTAGGCGTTGTCTCCCTCCCTCAGGCCGACTCATCACCGAGCTCCTCCAACATTCCTCTCCGCCACATGACGGACCATTTCTTCCCTCGCTCGCTCCACGAGCTGGGCCACGTTCCCACCGACAACAGCCAAACTGGCCATCTCTCCAAGCGCTCTGCTACCTACCAAGGAATTGACCATGATATCCCCCCTCCGGACCCTCTCATGAATTACTCGGTTGGTCTGGTCTCAGTCTTGGTGGCCGCCACAGTGTCGGGCTTGACTGGCGTGTATTTCGAGAAGCTCCTCAAAGAGAGTCACACCCAAGCCAGCGTCTGGATTCGAAATGTCCAGCTCAGCTTCTACTCCATCTTTGCCGCGGGACTGGGAGGTGTCATATGGCAAGATGGCGAGGGCATCAGCGAGCATGGCTTTTTCGAGGGTTACAACTGGGTCGTGTGGAGTGCGGTTGTGCTGCAAGCAGCTGGAGGCATGTTGGCAAGCGTGGTAATTCGCGATGCTGACAATATTGTCAAGAACTTTGCGACAAGCATCAGCATCGTCATCAGCTTCTTGATCAGCATCATGTTGTTTCAATTCGAGGTGTCACTAACAGTAAGTTACCCCTGATGAGTCATGAAGCTTTAAAATATTAACACGGTTTGCAGTTTGTCCTTGGTACATTCCTCGTACTCCTATCAACTTGGATCTACAATGGATCTGATCGCGCTATTCGACGTCCTCCACCAATCCAAATCCATAGCTTCGAGAAGCCAGCTATCGAACCTACTCAGACCCCACGTAACCTTGCAGCAAGCCGACTGAGTCTCAACCCTATGGACAGCCCGATGGGCCTGACTACAAGCCGTCCAAACACACCACTGCTACCCAGGACGCCCAGCAAATCTAACTTCAAGAGAGATGATTAATATTTCAACTGGATGATGTTATCATACAGTCGAGTACGAAATCAAACGTATTCAAAATTTCAGTTATGAATTCGAACGAAGATACGAACCACGCAAATTTGTGCAGCAGCGTTATATATAACCTGGATCTCCTTGGTACATTTTTCGAATAGACGAAAATACCTTCCCGTCGGTTTGAGCAATGTGTCTCATTTCTTGTCCGTCGGCTCAGGTATGGTAGATGGTGGGAAAAGAAAAGATACCCGTGCCCAAGGTGTGGCATGATAGAATACCCCGATTAGATAAATATTGGATCTTAGATCAAGATTAGAGGTGGCAGAGACTGTGACTCATGGAGCACGGCTCGTAAGTTGAAGGATATGGCAAAAAGGCTTGGGCAGAATACAAGTCCATGCATGATTCTCTGTTTTTACTTGGCAATGCGCTTGATTCATCCCGCTTCATGTGATCCAAGTTGGACCATCTTCATTTATTCCCTGGATATCACTCCTATATACATCCTCCATTACTTTTTGATGGCTTCAGGTTGCAGATATCTGACGCCTCTTTCATACGTAACGATCGCAATTTTTTGCACTAATCTAGTTTAAAGACGAGATTCCTTTACATGATGACTTCGTTGACGACATCCTAAAAGCTTGTTAGCGAGGTAATCAATTTCACGAGTTGGCATTTTAAACGTACCCTCTTCAGCTCCTTGTAGGGCAAGCAGACACAGTTCTGAACGCGGACCTCGTCGCCGACACCACAGTCCTTGCCCAGGATGGTAATGCTCTGGACCTTGACACCGTTCTTGATGATGCTGGTTGAGTGGCTGCCGACAGGAGTGGGGGTACCCTCAACACGAGCCCAAGCACCGACGCGGCTACCCCAGCCAATAATGGAGTAGAGGACACAGGCGTCGTGCTTGATCTCAGAGTCCTCGAGAACGATACTCTCCTTCACACGGGCACCAGCGCCAACAACGACGCGGGGTCCAATGCTCACGTTGGGGCCGAGCTTGGCAGTAGGGTGAACTGTGGCGGTAGGGTGAATGAAGACAGGAGGAACGATGTTGGCGCTGGGGGTGGCGAGCTCCCCGGCGGACTCGGATTGAGCGGCCTTCTGAAGGTACAGGGCGTTGGCGGGAACAGCAGAGCCAGCAGTCTTGATCTGACGCCAGAAGTCCTTGGTCTCGTAGACGTAGAACTGCTTGCTATCGGCCATATCGGACAGGATGTCCTGCTCCAGGCGAATGACCTCGCGCTTCTTCTCCTCGTCCTCGTCATCGTCGTTGGGGGCAATGTAGCTGTTCTCGAGGTTATCGGAAGAGGGGTAGGAAACGAGACGAGAGGGGCGGTCGAGGCGGCGCTTGATGGCGGAACGGATAGAGGGGAAGATGGCCTCAGTGGAGAAGAGGTAAACACCACAGTTGATGAGGTTGCTGATGCGCCCCTCGGGCTTCTCGACGTAGTGAAGAACACGGCGAGTGTGAGAATCGGAAACGATGCAACCAAAGTTTGTAGCAGCCTCGTCGCTCACACGGGTTCCGAGAATGACGGCCTCGGCATCCTTGTCGTTGAAAAGCTTGAGCATCTCCTCGAGAGGGAAAGAGCAGCAGACATCGGCGTTGAGGACAAAGAGGCGCTCAGGGCGGCCCTTGAGAATAGCATCGCGGAAGTGGTACAGACCACCAGCAGTTCCAAGAGACTCGTACTCGCGCAGGTACTTGATGGTGATGTCGGGGAACTCCTTGGCAGAGTCTCTGATGAAGTCGCGGAAGACGGACTCGTCGTAGTAGCCGATGATGTAGACCTCCTGGATCTGCTTGTTGGGAACGCGAGCGATGGAGGACAGGCAGTGCCAGATGATGGGGTGGCCGGCGACTTCGAACAGAGGCTTGGGCACGTCGAGAGAAAGAGGGCGGAAGCGAGTTCCTCGAGAAGGACCACCGACCTGTGAAATTGGAAGCGATTAGTACTCTTTTGTTGACTGACGTAGGGATTGAGACGGTGAAGCTATTCATACCAGGATGACGGCCTTTGTGGCACCGCCCTGATCCCTGGAGCGATGGGCCATGGGAACGTGGAGAGACATGATGTTTATGTGATTGTGGAGTAGAGGAGGAGTTATGGGAGGGAGAGGGATAGAGGTCGAGTTGAGCTTTGGGAATGGATGTTTGAAGTGGAGGGGAACTGCGACTGGACACTTGGAGAATTAAAGGCGGTCACCGAATAGGGAAACTGTTGTTGATTGATGGTGGGGGTGGATTTCTGCACGTGGGAAATAGGGGTTCTCAGTTTCTCAGCTTGGAATTGGTGAGGGGCTTACCCTGTATTCATGTTGAAGAATCGTGATTTTGACACGTTTTAGAGTTCGAACAAGATTATGTTCTTTAGTAAATCCATTGGATGAATTGTGAATAGTGGTCAGGTGCTTATCCAGTTCTTGAGTTCAGGGCCTCAATTGAAGCTTATCAAGCAAGTTGGTAGGGGCGCATACGTAGCTGTAGCTGTAGCTGTAGCTGAAGCTGATCTATTGAAGAACAAGCCACTGTGGATCATCAAAACATGGTAATTTGATGTCTTCTTAGCATTTTATTCTCGTACTGGGAGATTACATGGTAAATCCATAGAACGTAGCTTGAAAATGCGTATTGTAATAGCTTGAAGAAATTTCTTCTATTATATAGATGGTATAGATAACATTACGTCACTGTGGTCTGAATCGTACTTGAGCAAATGTCTTAGACAGTGGATGTCCAATGTCATCCATGTATTGCAGGGTTACCAATTCGGCTATGTGTAAGTTTAGAGATAATGATAGCTCATGAATGATATTGCGAAACGCAGATAACCTCCAAGTCAATCCGGCTCTATAGGCTACAGCTGGAAGAACGGCATGGGATAGCGATATCAGGAAGATTGACAGAAATACTCCAACCTTGCGCCATGATTTGTTGCAACACCCATACGAAGAACTATGATACTGTAGCTTCAAGTACTCCACGATTTAAGAATCAATGAAGAAGATTCGATCTCATGGAACTGCTCGGGCTGTATGCACCAACTACAGGAAGGCAGTTATTTGAGGCTTGTAGATTGCCAAGCCTGTTGAGAAGCGGACTGTCGCTCGTTTTGGTGGACAAGCGGAACCACAGTTAATAATCATATCAGTGTTGGTTTCTAAATACGGAAGGATTCTCAGTAAAAACAGTATAATGAGAACAGATGTTGGTGAATTGATCGCCAATGTTGAATATTTCTTCAATTATGTCATTTTTACATCGTGAGGAAGGTTTGAAACTTCATCTCGAGATCTTCAGAATGAGTGGGTCAAGCTTTCCTTAGTCTAAGATAGTTGCCGAAGATGGACCCCTGCTAGAGAGTGGATTCTCTGATAATGATAAGAAATGGACCCATTCTTGACCTCTTGTGATACTTCAATACTGGATCACCATGTTGACAATTGATGATTCAGGATAAAAGTATAACCTGTAATGCTGTGACGATTGAGGCGGTGAGTGAATATGCAGTTAGTCAAGAATGCAACATTCATCAGCCGATTCTGAGTCGACATCTCCGCACTTGGCCTCACACTCAAGACATTCAGCAGACAACTTCCTCCAACCAAAAGATAAAGCAGTCCAAATCAGGGGCGCGGCACAGCACACAGCAGGAGCCATCCAATCCCTGGATTAGGTTCAGTTGCCGTCTGGGGAAAATCCGGGGATAGAAATGTATATGTACAGTACCTGTAAAGTCTCTCAGTGGTACTGTGGCTGCTTACAACCTCTCCCCAAATACCACGATGTGACTTGACACAATACAGTATCAGGTCTCGCATCAATGACGGCGCGAATTCCCCCGCAAATGGAAGCACATCCCCCTCTTTCCTTCTGTTTTTAATCAAGAGCTTTGCTTTGCTTTGGCTTCGAGTGGAGTTGTTCCTGTTCCTCTTGATATTTAGCTCCGTTCATCCTCCACAGCTGCGGGTCTAAACTGACAAAGCTATTATTGAGAGTCAACTTTATCGAGATACTTTAATTGTCAACATGTCTCCCCTCGTTACTCGCGTCGCTCGATCCACCATCGCCCTGAGACCTCTCCCTGCGGCTCAGCGAAGTCTCCGCACTTCGAGTATCCTCCGTGATACCGAACCTTACCAAGCGAAGACACCTCAACAGAGTCGAGACCAGTGCGCATTAACATGAATAAATAACTGAGAGTCATTGTACTGATGCTTTCTTCTTAGCAACAAGCTTCTCGGTGCCGGCGCTGTCCTCATCGGCGTTGGTTTCTTCTGGTTCTACAGAGGAGGCAAGCCCAAGGCCCTCGATGCGTCCGGCGAGTCTACAGGCATGAAACCACCTACCAAGTAAATCAATATGGACCTTTATGTCCGTCTCTCGTTGAGATCGAGTTGCAATAACGTTCCGGCGAACAAACAAAATATCGGATGGTAGTGAGGGTAAGGATGGACGCACAGACATCTCTGGTTTTGCCTTTGGCCCTTGAGCATAGTTTATGATGGATAAAATGAATTGATGAAATTGACGAGTCAGTCTCATCTGGACCAGTTATTGTCGTTGGTGAACAAATCGACGTATAGTTGTCGCTTGGTTTTCTCGATACACTGAACTCTCTTTTGAAATTTCACCAACTTTCTCGATGCCAGGTTTCTCTATCCACAATGTTGTAAGCTTTGGAGAGCGTATAGGAGCCTCTCAAGTATTATTCTATGGGCATAATCAGAAAAGTAACATCTTGTTGCCCAGTTGAAGAATCACATGTCGCTGAGTACACGCCAGTTGGTAAGGAGCACTTGGCGCCACCCAAGTCCATGCCTCAAATCTGACTTCCAGTAAACCCAAAAATAAAAGTTATTTCCAATGCCCCCAGAACAACCAGAAAAAAAGTTGCTGAGAGGCCCCAAGTTAACAAAAAGCAAAAGATTAATCGCTTGCCCCGTACTGGAATCGAACCAGTGATCTTATCATTACTAGTGATACGCTTTACCACTGAGCCAACGGGGCTTCTTAAGCGAAGGTGCTTTTGATGTGTGGGAGGCGAGTAATCTCAATATATATAATCAACAACCAAGTTGTGATTTAATCATGTAACTGTCCTGGTCGCAGTTATCAGTATCACTGACTCTTGACAGATGAGTAATTCATTTTGATTCACTTATACTTCGTTGTCAGATGGCATTATGTCAATATTGTGCTAAACTCATGGTTTGACTCAAATGAAACCTCTCATACGATCTTCGCTGGTCACCAACAAGACATCAAGAGCCGCGAAATAAGCCAAAAAGTGTAGTTGTAAGGTATTCTAGCTGCTTGAACTTAGAATTGTCCTTGCCTAACATGCATCACACGCCCAATGAGGCTTTTTGGGCCCAAAAGGAGTTCTAGGACCCAGACGCCCATCGTCCAAAGGATCTACACGGCTGGGTGTAGGAGAAGATGGTGTATACTGAGCGCGAGTAGAAGAAAGAGAATCCTCAGAATCACAATACTCTACATCCTCATATTCGTCGTCCTCATCGTCCTCTTCTTCACTCTCCTCCTCGCCCTTTTTTGGACCAAGACGCAGGGCGATGATTGTCCTCATGTACCGTGTCTGCGCACGAAACATCCAAATAAGCATTGCCTGGATCAGCAACATAATGGCCATCCTGAGAACAATATCGAGGGTCCAGCAAGCAAGGTATAGACTGTGGAACTTCCACAAATGGCTTTGGTTGATGTAAAACTGAGGCAAAACCATTGCGATAAGACAGCAGGTCCACCAAGCTTGCACAACAAGATACAGAGGATAGAAAAAGCTGCCCAAGACAACAGCACCGAGTCGGAGGGTTTCGTTCTCGTAGAATCGGCATAGGTATGGGTAATCTGAGAGCTCCTCGTCGGAGATTGGGGCATTCCAGTTTGACAAACGGTCCAAGAACGAATCGTCTGCACGCTTGGGAGTAATTGTCTGTTGGGCATCATTTGAGGTCTTGGGGTCTTGCTGGATTGATCTGAAGACCGGCGGTGGGCTGTGTTTGATGAGCTGTACACAAGCGACGATTGAGTAGACGGCGAAGAGATGAAGAGTGAGCCAAAAATCAGTTGTGGAGAAAATCAGCTTCATATACGGTGTCGAGCCGTTCTCGTCAGTATAATAATCCCAGAAACCACTGGTTTGGTCTGGATGTCTCATAATGGCGTTGAAGTGAGGTTGTTCTTGGGTGATGGGTTTGTTGATGTGTAGGGCTGGTGGAAGGGGCACGGATTATGGGCTGTGAGTGTGAGGGGAACAATGAAGAAGGCAGGGCTTGTCGGCTGGAGCCTTGGAACAGCACTGTAAACTTGGAAGATACATGAAATCTGTGAAAAGACTTCGAATCTTAGGGTTTCTCAAGTGGCGAGAGCATGCCCTCCACGGAAGATGCTAATCCATTGGGCATGATATGTTCTTACGATTCTCGTACCAACGTAGACTTGCAATGATAGACTTCAACAATAAACCTTCTTAAAGGAGCCAATTACTTGTAAACCATGTCGTTGGGTGTTGGTCTTGTTTACATGTCAACACACATGGCAGAGCTTAAATCGAATTTGCCTACTGATCTTACATACCTCCCCAACTTCCCTGCCCAGAGGCTCCCATCTGGCCCATATCCGGTCTGCTAAAACTTCTGAGAGCTTCATCCCAGTTCTTCCAGTCGATGTCGTCAATTTCTCCAGGGTCCATGTTCAAGTCAAGATCGGTAGATGACAGAGAATTATTCTGGAAAAAGTTGTTCATGTCGCCCAAAGAACCAGGGTCTTGCGTGTGGTGAAAAATATCCGAGCCAGGCCATGGCGAAAGGCTGTTGTCCCCTATGGCTTGATGGTCGTTGTCAGCCCTATGCGTGGAGGCCACCCCAGAAATAGCCGGTGAAGCAATGCTCGGTAAACTTCCCAAGCTATTTCCGCCAGGATACAGACCATTTAGATTCTGTGCATCTGAGTTACCTCCTTCAAAGTAAATTTCTATACCTGGATTGCCACTCTGGAGGTTCTGCCACGCGGTGGGATCAAATCCGTGAAGCGACTGGTTTATCTGTGAATGATCCTGAGGGGATTGCTGCAAGTTTGCAGGGGCAACATTTGCAGGCGTACTAGATGTAGGCCTTTGCTCCGGATGCGATAGGACGTTCTTATATTGTGCCTCAACAGAGAAACTCCCCAGCTGAAATGTCTTCCTCCAGCGCAGTCGTAACTCTGACAAACGTGTCTCCATTCCCGGGGCAGGACCGATACGTTCCAGCACGGGCTTCAGCCTATCCTCTCGGTCAAGTTGCCTGGCAGCTTCAGGGTTTGCACGAAGACGCACGAGCTCTGATTCACGGTGGCGTTTGGCTTTAGTATAGAGCCTCTTAATCGGCATCCACACAGCGGTATGATCTGAGTGACTTGCACCCTCGATTGGATGATCGTATTCCAGGATCTGAGCAGCCTCCCATGCACGCTCTGAGTTAATCCCCCACGGTCGCTTAGAGAGTTCTAGGAGCATATATGCGATGGCGTGCCATTGTCGATAGGTAAGGAACAGCCAGCGCCACTGTCGACATGAAGGATCGACGTTGAGAATATGAGTGTACTCAACAATCTCGATACATGATTGCCACAGCCGACTACGGACCTCTCTTGATGCCTCAGGGCCAGTTCCTGGAAATAGAACTGGCTGGTAGATGAGGAGTCCAACCTTGGCCATCAAAATTCTTGAAATTAGAGAAGCTACCCAGAAAACGGGATCATCTTCTCTGATGGTGTGCTTGAGAAACTTGCCTTCCATTCGCTCGTAGACTTCGATAAGCATGCGTTCGCGCTCCTCCAGGCTCTTTTCGACGTGTTTGGGATCGACAGGTTTCATTTGAGCCACAGCTGCGAATAGCCCACGGGTAAGAGCAGTTGTTTCGTATCGTGTAAGGCATATGGACGAGTCAGTACGACCTTGGCGTGGAGTAGGCATCTCGGTAAAAGAAGGATCGATATCAGTGTCGTTAATATTCGACGGTAGCTGAGTGTCAAAGGTGTTGTCACTTATGATTAGATCCGAACCCATTTCTTCAGCGGAGCGGATATCCAGGGCTACAATTGCCCACCAGAGACGACGACGCATCTCAACCTCGAAAGGAGGGAGGTCAAGCTGTTGGCCGTCACGATATAGTCCAAGTGCCTGAGCCATTCGGACACATAAACTTGTTAGAGTCCAACAAAACTTGCTGTCGTCATGGCATTTGACAACAGTCAAGTAAATGACGAACGCTTGCAGAACAGCCATGTCGGTGGTGTTGAGAAGGTTGGATTTGGCCAATGCTTGTTCAAGTGCGAAACGGAATTGAGAAATGAAATGAGATTGTGATGCACCGAGATTGGTTTCGAGCTGAAGCATGTCAGAACATATTGTGTGGTGTGCACTGAAGGCTTACCTCTTGCTTTTCTGATGAAACCACAGCTGCATAGTAGATAGTGAAAACCAGTGCTTCGTCACCAGGGCGTAGGTCATGTTCACCTCGTCTGACTTGCGACATAAGTCTACTCATTGTAGGAATGTGCAGGACCTTGACCAGAGGCTCAATATTCTCCAAGAAAATCTCCCATAGATAAGATACCTGCGCGGGCAGTGGATGAAGACCCGTGAGATCAACGTCGGAAGACTTGTAGCCAAAGATGAAGCTATGGTGGTCATAGTCAGTGCCCAAGTTTTGAGGAGGCGATTGCTCGGGGGTTGTATCATCGTCAAAATCAGCCTCTTCGTCATGCGAGCTCATTGTCTCCATCTCATTGCGAATTTCAGAAAGCTACCGATGTCAGCTCAGACCACAAACCGGGATAGTAAGCTAGTACCTCGTCGTTGAGCTTGACAAAGAAGCCACTGTGGACGTATCGAGGTGTTGGATCTCCTTCATGCAGCACCAGGCGCCCAAGTTGTTTGTTAACTTGTTCGAAACTGAGGTTCTGAGTATCTTGTTCAACCTTTTCCTGAGTCGCTTCAACAATACTTTGTCCGTCCTTGGTGTTGATATGAGTCTTCTGTGGCGCGCCAGTGCTTGCTTCTACACCATTTCCGCCAGCACCTCCCTGACCATTCATCTCATAGACAAGTCCCTCAAGCTTTCGTAGGCGCTCCATTAGATCCATCTCGCGATCACTGTGTCCTGGAGCTGGCGCAGGATTTACCTGCATCTGTGCCTGCGCATGCCTTGGGGCGCGACCTGGAGCCGGGTACATGCAATCGCTCTGAGCCCGGCGACAGTTACTGCATGGCATCGTCTTATCGCAACGGACTCGACGTCTGCGACAAGTAACACAGCTACGCGGATTCAACAGCGGAGCACCGGAGGTCATGAGAGCCACTGGGCGATCATATGGGATAGTGGCGACGCCGATTTGACGTCCAGAGGAGACAGCGGGGTGTGGAGTTCTATGAACGCTCTCCGAAGTGCCAGATGATGGTGTCTTGGGTGTTTGTGAGGCCATCGTGACGGTTTGCGCTAGACAACGGTTGTATATGCGATCGTCAGCTCGACTGAAGACGGGAATCAGACAGAGGGAGATTAAATATGTCTTGGTGCCGCTGGCATGGCAGATCTGCGGAATGATAGCCATGACTAAATGGGCGAATATCTGGGAGCCGTAAGCGCTAAGAGGCACCATTGCAACAGTCTACGATGCCATTGCAGGGTTTAATCTTGACTGAGATCCAATGTGAATAGGCAGTTGCTGAGAGAATCCGCCGGAGTTTGGTAGCCTCACATCGGGGTTAAGAATTAAATAGGTACCTAACAAGTGGCTGCTGACTCTTGCCACATTTTGTAGTATTTGTATTTCGAGTCGCCCTTTCCTTATCATTGGGTCGGATCTCCAGCCGAAGATTGATCGTGACTAGCGCCTACCAATTAACGAGTTGGGCCGTGCTAAATCGACCTTATTGCAACCTCGCACCTTCTTTATTGTACCCGTTGTCCTTTCCTAAGAGGTAATGAGTGAATTGATATTTGTAATAGTTCTGTCCATCAAGTTGAGCAAGTGTCTCGTCGCCTGTAATTTTGGCTCTCTTTTTATCAATATGACACTCACGACAGGTTTCGACTTTGTCTAATATATGCAGCATTATTGAGCTGCTGAAATAGTTGCTTCGTATCTTACTGCAGCGCAATAATATCCATTTCCATACTTGCACCAGCTGGCAATTTTGAAGACTCACAAGCACTTCGAGCCGGCTTCTGAGGAAAATACTCGGCGTATACCTCATTCATCTCTTTCATATCATCCAAGTTCCTAAAATAGACCTTCCAGGCGATTAGAAAAGGATAAAGTCACATCTATGCTCAACTTACCGTGACCTTGACAGCTTTATCAAGACTAGAACCCGCTTCCTCTAGAACAACTCTGGCGTTCTGACACATCTTATGCGTCTGCTCTGCAATGGTTCCTCCGGTGAGCTTTGCTTGAGGATCGGCGGGGATTTGGCCAGACAGGAACACCATGCCGTTTGCCTTAATAGCTTGGGTATATGGACCAATAGCTTGTGGCTTGTCAGTCAACCTGACGTTGGGTAGGAGATGTGTACATACGTGCAACAGCCTTTGGAGAGAATACGGGCTTCATATTAGAAAGTGATAAAGTCGAAGCTGAGAATGTTCGAACAGATATACGGTTTGAAGTATTTAGGCCGGCTATGTGTTGGAGTACACGAGTTGTTGGTCGGAGAGCAGAAACAACTCGAACCACACGATGAGTGGCTGAGTACATCTTGATTTTGTAGTATGAATTATTGAGTGCTATTAATACTCAGAATGCGGTTGCTGGTACTAGAATACCATATTATAGGTGAAGCCGGAATAGCGTTCCGTACGTGTACGTACCTGGCACCGGAATACTGTTCCGGTGTAAGTCGGCCCTGGGGCTAAAAAGCTAGCAGTCGCCAAAAATGGCAAAAACATACAACAACGGCGATTTGCTGGTCATCACCGACCCAAGCAATTAACATGGGTCGCTTCGGTGGACGTGTTACATAGATCATGTGATGGATTGGCAAGCTCGCCTTTCTGTTGGGAGTCCAGCATGGTTCTCTCTGGGCTCATCAAGATGTCTAGTTGTTTGAAAGCTCAGATCATATTAATCTATACAGTAGCCCCCAAGTAGTATTGCTATGCCGTTGCTCAAAAGAGGGCTAGAAATAGCCAACATCCATGCACGCACATCAGCTGGCAAACGTAGCCCTTGCCTGATAGGATCCTCGGCAAGGCTCTATAAATCCTTCTTAGCGACTCATGGCAAGACGACTCACATATACCAAGCCGCGGGACACGGTCCTGAACGGGCCTCTTCCCTTGGCGTTCGGGTGCATGCATGACCCCAACACTGAGAGGGGATACATTGGTGCGTGTTTCTTTTTATCTTTTGGGGATCATGACTGGATTCGTATCTTTACCCGAAAATCATGGGTCCTTTTGATGTCAAGCTGCATAGCCCAGTCGGAGCTGAGTGACTGTAAACAGATATATCTGGCGCTCTCAAGATGTATAGTTGAAAGCTGCGATAACGTTGCAATTCACGCAGGACCGAGCACACACGAGTTCGAAAAAGACGTAGATGACAAGAACCACGTTAACATTAGGCCCAAAGGATGAAAACAGGAAGAGAAAAAGGTATAAGAAGGCTCATGACCGACAACTTGTTGGGTAATATTCTCTTTCACAACACCCGCCGACTTGAGATTCATCAACTTGTTCCTCCTTACTTATCTTCCAAGCCGTCTCTCAAAAACCACCATGCTCTTCAAATACTTTTCCCTAGCTCTGCTGGCTTCAGCTACACAAGCTATCCCTGTTGCAGACATCGAGCAGTCCGAGGATGATTTTGTACTCTTCAAACGTGACAGTGTCCTGTCCGCCCGCGACCTCGAGCTTGCTGATATCCATGGTGTTAATATGACCGAGAGTAAGCCAGTCTCTTTTATCCCCTTCTAGTCAACCTGTACAACAATGCTGACAATGGCGATTGCCAAAAGTGTACAAGCACTCCATGTTTAAGCGCGGTGATGGGGACCACATCGTCATCTGGGTCGCCCGTAGCTTCTTAGAGCATCAAGATGGGACCTTGATGAAACGCCAGCAGGCTCGTCCCGGCAAAAATGGCAACTACAGGGACAACCGGATTTCTGACCATTGCGATCGCCACAGCAGGCAAAACCACGCAGGACCAAACGGACCCTACTCAGGCGGTGTACAGGCCATGTATCGCTGGGCGGATAGCCACCGCGGTATCTTTAGTGTCACGACTAGCTGGGAGAACTTGATGATTGCTGGGTCAAACACTGGCGCCAATGCTGTCTATAAGGCCAAGACTAAGGATGGTAGAGGCGGCACGAATATTGGTACTATGGACGTACGTAACGATGCAGACTGGACACAATACAGGGCCATTGAGTTTAGTGGCCGATGGAGGGCTTCTTCCAAGGGAGAAGAGAGTTGTCAGGGTGGTAAACGCATCTCCTATGAGATTGTAAGGAGTGATTATCGCGTCTAGAATGTTGTTCTGCCCTAGGGCCACACCTGGCACAAAGCACCCAACCACAAGAAAGATTTGTTGCTCAGTTATTGTAATCGGCTCAAGTCTGGCTATATAGACTATAGTATTACTGGCATATCATCTAAATCCCACATCCATCCGTTGTCAAGCATGACAGTATCCAACATGTTGACTCCTTCAACGTCTAGATCATCAATCGCTGACAAAATCGCGCCAGGATGAGCAGGATCAAAGGTTTCGTTTCCGTCACGAATATTTGACCATATTGGATCTGGCGATATGCCTGTTTGGCCTGGATGGGTAATTGCGTACTCAGCCAAACCTGGAACAAGGTTGATGTTGAAGACGCTTCTGGTATCAAGACTTTGGCTGTTATTGTTACCTCTGATCTTGGTGTGCAGTTCCAAAATCTGAACAAGGTCAGATCGATAAGCCTGTGCCGGGGCCACGCGCCGAGAGACAAATTCGCCGAGCAAGTTCATCACTTCCGGCAAGTCCCAGAGCAACTCGTTTGCTGGTCTAAGAATGTCAATCAGAATTAATGCAAAAGCAGCTGAGAATAGAGCATCAATGTCGTATGGCAGAAATATGTCTGGTCTCGAGTTAGAACAGAGCAAGCAAATAAAGATCGAGAAAACCTACCGCACATCATCTGCTGTCTCAGAATTGCCATGATTTTGAGAATCTGCACCGCAGACTCAATACACATCTTCAACATTGATTCGAACGGAGATGATGACAGGCGAGTGTTGGTCTTTGAAACATCTGGAGCCAATAAAGGATTCAGAAGCGAGAACAGAACCGGCCGAACGGTCAACACGACACACTGGAGACAAATAGTCAGCCGGGGTCTATGGTTGTAATACTCCACATACCTGATGCATGAGAAGATGCAAAGTGGCAGACTCGCGAGAGAGAGGCTGGCCTGGCTGCTGGACATCAAGGGGTAGATGTTCACGCAGGACAACATAAGTCTCAGCAAGCCGTGAGAGAATGGCTTTGACCTCCACGAGAAAATTCTTCTGCTGCTCATGTACACCATAAATGACTGCCAAAGTATGAGATAAGATGCCCCGGGGTACAAGCAAGGCTAAGACGTACCATCGAGGATCTTGCCTAAATGTGAAGACAGAATGGCATGGATTGCGAACGCATTCTGCGATTCGTCCCCAGGATTTAGCTCTGGGAAAGGAATGGAGACGTCATCTTCCCTCATAACCGATGGACTACCCAGCATAGCGGCGCACTTCCTGTCGATGCAGTACACTGTCCACCAAAGACGTCTTTGGTACTCGAAGTTCGTTGATCTCATTGCTTCTGGGAACTGCTTGTTTAAGACTTTGGTAACAGATATCCGTAACGCCTGCCCTATCTAGATATAATGTTAGGCTGAAGGAAAAATGAGACGGTAGACAAACTGACTGTTACATAGGCTTCTTGTAAAAGATCAGCAGCGTGCATGAACAAGGCCGCCAAACACAATATCTCGATAGATAGCAAAGGATCCTCATAGAGTCTTCGTATATCTGGCATGGCCTCGATAGCACATGTAAAGTAGGACATACCAGAAGGTCCCATCTCGGAATGTTCTCTCGACTGAATCGACTTGCCAAATGCCAACACCAGTAGCATTTGAATGTGCCAGAGACTCGCTTTATCCACCAGGCCTCTATCACGCTCATCATAAAAGCTTCTCAGTCTTTGAAGAAATATTTCCGAGTCGAATATAGAGTAAAGAGAGCCCATGTGCACTAATACAGTATTGGTCAGGTACTCGGCGTATGGGAGTTTAGGCAGTGGAATAGTTGACAAATCCAAAGCTATAGGTGGCAGGGTTCTTTTGTACGAGATGTCCTGCCTCTCTGTAGAGACGCTACCCGGATCTGTGTTAGGAGACAGTTGTTGTAGAAGATTGCGGACATTGCGGCTAAAACTGAGTGTTGAGCTATGCCCAAGGTAGGCTGGTAGGATGAGTACACTGATAATCCCTTAACTCGATTGAGACGAGACTTACCTGCATGGCCGTATCGATGGACTTTGATTTGGGGTTCCGAAGTTACCAGGGTATTTGTGAGAGTTTCTGACTCTGGCCTCTCCGGCCGACTGTTCGGGATGTTTACAAGCGGTGCGTTCCCATCTTCATCCAAAGGACTTTGAGATGCAACGCTGGACGCAAGACGCGAAGTTTGTCCCCTTGGGCTGGGTGTAGCAACATGGGCCCCAGTATCAGCGTCAGCGCCTTTAGAAGATAGCAGTTGAGCCTCAAGTGACTCGATACGAGCGTGCAATTGGTCAAGATACCTAAAGCTGTAAGTAAGCCTTATGCTGAGATCCGCACTTGATCAATCACGTACTGCACAGAAACAGCAGCCTTTTTCTCTTTCTCTTCAAAGGTACACGTCTCTTTACGTCTGATACATCTCTCACAGGGGTGTCTACCGGAGCATCGAGCCTTGCTGTTCCGACAGCTTATACAGCTGAAGATGATGTCAATTCGCTTGAGTTATAATATCACGAGTACTCTCGACTAACGCATTGGAGATCTTTTCTCTTTTACGAGCTCGAGCTCGAGTTGATCGCACGTTAAGTCGTTCGGCTTCATCCATGATATTGTGACATGTTGTTGGAGAAGGTTAATTCTACACCGGAATCACATTCCGGTCCATGGAACGGAAATAAGCTAAGAAGTTACTCTGTACTTTGTACCTTCCTCCTTCTAGCATTCCTTGGGGGCGGGACGTTGGCGGCAGGCGGGGCCCACTTCAATATAAGAACTCTATCGATAACAACTGTGGGGAGATATCTCGTGCCGTTCAGGGGAATTGTAGCAAGTGTTCCTGAGGTGTAGCCCAACCTCCTATTTTATCTGCAGTAGCAGGGGTGTTATCTGACCAACTCCACCAAGCATTAAGTGCTGTTAGGATGAGTAAGAGTGATCGGGACAAAAACGTCTTTTTATATAACTGAATATGATTAAAATGAACTTGATCGGTTGTGAGATATATCTAGATGGCCTTGGGCTGTTTTAATATTCATCGATAAATTTGCGCACCCACAGTGACCCTCAAGTCCTACGCGCTCTATCAGCTGTTATCGAAACAGCGTGTTGCCCCAGAGCAACGGTAGCGTCAGTCAAAAGAAGCAAGCACGTCCCAGGCAGCCAACCGCCAATCGTTGAGCGGCATTGCAATAGATGGAGAATCCTCAATTCAATCTTCTTTCGATCTTTGTATTCGCTTCGAATGCTGTGATACCACTCATCTCATCTGTCCGATTTCCAAATTTATCGCTCATTTACACTCTATTATTCATTATTCCTTTTATTATCTCTGTTTAATACCCTCGTTCTCATATATCCTCCTACTAGTTGCCTGGGAAAGAACCGACTTCAGCTTCATTAACCAATCTTGAGGCAGACAAACAAACAGCACTGCGACAGTGGCATTCATTCATTTAATTCACCTTTTTCTTTAAACTCGGCCATAAAAGCAGCTGCCAGGCAGCTGCGCATAACTGCATTTAATGTCTTCTCACACCAACCACAGCCATTCTTCTCACACAATGCGTCACCCTACAAGACGTCGAGAACCTCGGAGCCACAACCGCCCCATCAAACCAGATCCCGATTCTTCTGCAAATAATTATTACCCAGATCCAGAAACTCACAACTTTGGCGCGCCTCCTACACCTTCAGCTGCTTCTAGCTACGGAGGCAGCACAACTCACATCCCTCCTGACCAGGCCTTCTATAGGCAAGGCAGATCAGATGCCCGTGAGTATCTCATCACTACCGACGAATCGCACACACTAACAAAACTCATGAAGCGGCCCCAAGTGAACGCACCACTGAGCCTGAACCTCTATTAAGAGAGCTCAGGATGCGCCCCAACGCTGCGGCTGACAGTCCAACCAGCATCCCGGTGGATGGGAGCTTCTTCCAGACTTCTTTCCAGGACATTGGAAAGAAACTAAAAGCATGCAACGATACACTGGGCGAGCTCCAACAGCTTGGGGTGTCTCATGATGTTCCGCTCCCTGAACTTGTGCTCGTCGGTGACCAGTCTGCCGGCAAATCCAGTCTCATGTCAGGTCTCGCTAACCTAGAGCTCCCGCGAAGTGAAGGCACTTGCACACGCTGTCCCCTTCACATCAGGGTCTCTCGGAGCCACGACCCATCTTGTCGAGTATGGCTACGCAAGGAATATTCCTACCAGCCTCCGCCTGGTGGTCGGATCTCTGAGAGCGACGTCACCAACAGCGACCCTTTCTTTCCCTGGCGCAAGCGAGTGGCTGCAATCCATGAGTTCAAGACCATGATCGATCATAGTGAAATCGAGGAGGTTCTTCGGTGGGCTCAGATCGCTATTCTCAACGACGATAAAAGTCCCGAACTATTCGTCCCAGGTTCCGGTTCCATAGCCGTCAATGTTCCCATTGACGAGGCAGCCGAAACTGTCGCAGCCAAATTTTCACCCAACATTGTTGCTCTCGAAATCAAGGGTCCTGAACTCCCAGACCTTTCTTTTTACGACATGCCTGGAATTTTCCAAAACCCTGCAGATGCGAGTGATGACTATCTGGTCAGTGTTGTCAGAAACCTGTCCAGGGAATATATCCAGCATCCCTCAGCAATCATCATGTGCTCTATGCCTATGAATAGCGACGCCGAGAACTCATCGACTTTTGGCTTGGTTCGCAGACTGGGTGCTCTTAATCGTACAATCGGTGTATTGACCAAGGCCGACTTGATTCCAGAGGGTGGCAACCATGAACAGTGGCTCGCCATCATGAGGGGGCAAGCCCACATCACTGGTCTCGGCTACTTTATAACTTCTCGTCCTCAAGGGAAAGATCTAGACGAACTCAAGAAGTGGGAGGAGCTTGTCTTTGTTGAACACAATATGGAGCGATGGCCCGCCACTTTCCACGGCTTCTCTGAACGCTGTGGAGTTGAGAAGTTGAAAGCATTTCTGTCAGAAAAGCTTGGTCAAGAATTTGCAAAAAGGTATGCCTAATGGCTCAAGGTATATACATTAAGCTAACATACTGCAACAAGTCTACCCCGGATCAAACAAACACTTAGACATCACCTGGACAGCATTGTCGAGCAATTGTCTAAGCTGCCCGAGTTGCCTTCTAATGTCGAACTTGAAGTGCAAACCAGCGTGATGGAGTTCGGCGAGCAGGCTCGATCACAATTGAAGCCTTCGGAATTTTCGAAAGAATTTGTTCCACTGCCAGAGAACTTTCGCGATTGTCTTCTGGAAATGAAACCAAAATTCACACTCAGAGATAGCAGCGACATCCCCGTTGTGGATATCTCTGACGACGAGTCAGATGCTGGGTCAGTGGTCACAGTCACGAACCCAAACACACCCAGCAAGCGACGAACAATGGCGCCGCCAATCACACCGTCGAAACGTATGCGCATGGAACAGGCACCTGCTGGGACGCCCTCTCGTCCGCAATTGAAACCCGAAGAAAGTAGAGCTACCGCAGGGTCGGCGTCCCCTGCCCCGCGTCGACAAGGGTTTCCACATCCCTTTACTCCTTTCAGTAACGTTGGAAGAGGGTTCAGAACACTTCGCCAGGTGCGAGATGAGATCAAGGCCAAAACCAGAGCCGGTGTTCCAGATATTATCACGGAGGAGGTGTACAATGACATGTGTCGTGAGGCGATCGAACCTTGGTCGGGGCCAATGAAAGCATTCCTTGATAAGGTCATGAGCCTGCTGCATACTATGCTTGAGAAAGCCCTTGCTTACTCGTTCGCTCGGCTCAACAAACGACTGATCTATCAAGAGTGCCAGAAGATTTTGGCAGATTATCTTGAGGACCGTCGCCGCGAGACCATGAGCGCACTCGAAAGTGTATATCGACTCGAAACATATGGTCTGTTCACTGTCAATCAAGAAGCGTTCCGCAGATACCAGAAGGACGAGCAAATTCTGCTGACAAGATATCGCCACCAGATGCGCATGCAGGCTGCAGGATACGGAGATGGCCGGCCTCCTGTTCCCTGGGAGAGTCTCACAGAGGACAAGCGAGTGCTCGACGAGAAGCGGCGCGAAAACGAGATGACCAAGCTTGGGCCTGACTCTTTCGAGCGGGAGCTTGAAGTGGTAGCATACGTTAGAGGCTACTACCGCCTTGCAGCACTGAGGTTCGCGGATGCGATAGCATTGCACGTCACGAATGGCATGATCCCTTTGATCCAGCGACAACTCCCCTACCATCTCGACAGAAAACTAGGTCTTGGTGGAGCCGACTCTCAGAGTATCTACGAGAGGCTTATGGAAGAGGATCCGACCACGGCCGCTAAACGAGGGGTCCTCCGGGGGGAGCGCGAGAAATTTGTGAGGGCTTTGGACAGCATTGAGGAGCTGGAGCGCGGAGCTGGAAGCAGCACCATCTCGGAAGAGGATCGCAACGACAACGACGATGACGATGACATGGTTGATCTACCCCTTATGAGCGGTGCTCTTCCGGCCGAAGAAATCTAAAACGTTGTATCATCACGCAACTGGTTGTTTACCATGATTTGTCTAGGGCGTTGTCAAGCTTACTGCATTTGCCAGTTGTCTCCTGTTATTTGTTTGGGAAATGTTTGTATTGGGAATGGACTGTCTGGAACTTTGCTTGCTCTTGTTTTCTTTATTCTGTTATCTGGTACGGAAGGGAAAAGTATTGATCGTCACATCGATGTATGGTTTGGAGTTGAGAAGCAGGTGAAGAAGCTCACCCTCACGTCCGATGAAAAGTTGATGTCAGCCAACATTAGGTAGTTTACCAATATTAAGGGGAGGCCTCTTGAGAGAGTCCGGCGATTCCAGTTTGCCCGGATATTTAAGATCTATTTGCCGTCATGAAAAGCCGTGTATTGAAGTGACATTTGAGCTGAGGTGTGAAGTTTGCCAAGATCTTGGTCATAACATCAAGTCACCCTGTAAGGCGCAGGAAAGCAAATCAAATTTGAACCATCAAACAAAATACGAACTACAATGCATTCGCAACACCTCGGACTCTGAATATCCGACAGTGATGGACAACAGCAGGCTAAATTGATGCGATAAGTCTGGACTTCGCAGCCAACGGAAATAGATTGATCGTTGTGGGCTTGAAATTGCCAGCCACAACCGACGAACCGACTGAAGGATTCAAGAGATGGTGTCTCGGGTCTCGGGGCTGGCTTTTGAAGGGTGCAAGAGCTAGGCAGGCTAACGCAGGTGTCTCTTACCTCGTGGCAATGAAGACGGGGGTTTCCTAACTTGTTGGATGGGAAGGAGTCACGGGAATGAGAGTCTCTCCTTCTCCAAACGTGATTTGAGTCTAAATTTTACCTTGTTCTAGCTCCTGCTCTTTCAGCTCGCCCTTTTTGTCTTTCTCTTTAGGCTATTCTCGGGCTGTTATGAACTGAGATCCTCCAAAGACCATCCCCAGCATCAGTCAGTCGCTCCTAACCATCCTTTCGGTTATTATGCATGCATGCATGTCTCGACGTTGGTGTGCACCTTTCATTTACACTTTAAGATTGAGGTTACAACGGTCGCGCTACCTAGACCGGTCTAGTCAGATGAGACACACGCACTATAGACGACAATACAGATGGCGCCAGGCGGTGACAGGTCAGAGCCTTATTGTCAGCAAATAATCGCCGACTATTATCGTCCTATCAGGTATTTCTCGGCATCCATCCCGCGCAACCGTACCCCGTTCTATTGTTGTTCAATCTAATGCCTTCCTTTCCACTAGTAAAGGCACCAACCGATGAACGATCCCATCCCGAACTCGCTGCTTTATCCGGTTATGGAATAATTCAGCTTTTGATAATTCGGATTCATCGAAACGGAGTGAGCCCTGTTTTCCCTTGGCCCGCCTTGCCTGTCGATAACCGAAAATCCTCAAATGGCTGGGCGACTGAAGATCCTATGGGTCTGCCAAGTACCAAGAGCTTTCGCTTCCCCGTTACAGAATACAACCGGGATCTGATTGATGCCCTCGATTATTCTGGGCATCTTCTCCAGATTTACCAAGCCGCTGGGCTCCTTAGACCGCATTGACCAGCCGGCGTCTACCGACAGTCGTGTATATGATTTGATATGAAGCCCAAAATATCGTGCGAAATCTATCACTTCAAGCAACAGCCGCGTGATTCCTCCAACGGGCCTGAGATCCGAAAAGAGGCGTTTTTAGCCCCTCGTGCTACGCAGTACACACAATCCTACCCTTTACTGTACGCCTCTTCCTTCTTGGAGGCTACTGTGGTGTAATTTCATTGGACAATCCCTGAAACCTACTGGGAGATCGTAGCACGGTGGGCGAAGGATGAAACCGACTATGGCTAGGAGACACATGGCTTGGTCCTTTTGCCTTCCGGGAGGTTAGATCAAATCTCTACCCTAAGTTCTCAAAACACTGAACACGCCATTGACGGAGTCGATAGAAGTGGTCACACACAAACATGCACTACCGAGGGCGGCCCTTGGCTTGCTTGGTTGCTGGCACTCTGCTTTTTCGCTCCAGTGCTCGTTTACCCCAGATCCCTACCCCAGGTCCCTTCCCCGGTCTGGCCCCAGACCCTCCACGGTTTTGGGTATAGGGACAAGGGTTGGTTCGTGTCGACTCTACTTGGCGGATGAATGCCAACCCCATTTTTCCGGTTGCACTAGACTATGCAGAGAGACAAGGGCTACATCGATGGATCTAGACTTTTGTCCTTTGCGGACCATGTTGGGAGATATCAGGGGTATCGCAGCTGACCTTAGTACAGTACAGGTCAGCACAGTCACGGACAATGAGTGGCATCACTTCTTTGGAATATCGCTACTTCATGTTGGCAGTATACAGTAGAGTCGACAGACTTGAACAGGTATGTTGTTCGAATAAGCAAGATAAAGTAATCAAATTGTGGGTAGCCTGCACTAAGAATCTTATGTCTAAGTCAATAAAATGGGTCTACCCTCCCCGGATCTCACCTGCGATCGTCTTTGCTTATCAGCTTGTCAAAGCCCGACTCTCTCAGTTAATAGTTGTCAAGACGTTTGAGATTCTCGGACGACTCATTTAGCCTCGAAATTTTCCACTTTCAATCAGACCACCTCATTGTGCTATACTGGAGATCAATTGTTCGAGACAAGCGGCACGTACAGTACAAGATTGGCCACTGCGGCCCAGTCCTATTAATTTGAACCATTTTGGGGTCGAGATTGCTGGCACTTATAAGCAATGCTACTGTGGAAGCGAAAGATTTAATGCCATTGGGCAAAGGGCTCGCATTCATGTCTCGACCCGCTGATGGTGCATTGCAGGTCGCTCAATTGCTCCCTCTTGGGTTGACTTCCCCGTCCCATCATGCACTGTCCCAGCGTGATCTACCGACTCTGCCCAAGCAAGATAGCCCCAGGTACATGTTCACGGTACGTAGCATTCGAGATTCTACTCAAGATTTAAACGAGGCAACTAAAGCTGTTTAGCCGTCTTGCCGTTGCGGGTGATCCTACACACACCATCTCCGGCTCTGGGATCCACCTTGCCGTACCTGTGCATTGTCTGGACCCATGCAAGAGTGATTGATCATGTATCCAGACGTTTGATAGTCCGTGAAGAGGAGGTCTGTGTTAATCTGGGGTTGACCGGGGTGGTCGCTGCTTCTACTCACTGCAGACATTGTTTTATAAGAAGCAGTGCAATCCCTGGGAAACCTTGATCTTTTCTTCCTCACTCTCTTCACGAGACGAATCACTACTCCATTCATTGGACCAATACATAGTCAACTTGATTTACATCGTTGATCGACTGTATCCAACTTGCAATGGCTCTGCCAAAGTTCTTGCAGCCCATCGGCTCAAAGGCTCCTGTCCATCACGACCGAGTCGCTATCGACGTTGCCCAAGCTGAGGCTCCCAGATTCGAAAAGGTTATCTGGTACAAGGAACCTCATCTTCGCAAGCTTTACTTCCTTATCATCTTCCTGCTGATTGCTTCAGCCACCACCGGATATGATGGTATGATGGTCAACACCTCCCAGCAGATGGACAGGTGGAAGGAGTACTTCCCTGAGCACACGAACGACAGCAAGCTCGGTATCCTCATCAACATGTACAACATTGGTTCCATTATCTCTTTCTTCATCGTCCCCTACCTCGCTGATAACTGGGGCCGAAAGCCCACTATCATGACTGGCTGTGTCATCATGATTATTGGTTCTTTCCTCTCTGCTTTCTGCAATGGCTACGGCAGTAAGTCTCAAATACCCATCTTTCTTGTATCTTTGTTAACCAGATTTTCTAGTGTACATGGGCGGTCGATTTATCCTTGGTTTCGGCAACTCTCTGGCCCAAATGTCCTCCCCCATGCTTCTTACTGAGATCTGCCACCCTCAGCACCGTGGTCCTCTCACCGCCGTCTACAACTGTCTCTGGAACTTGGGTTCTCTGAGTAAGTAACTCTCTTATCTTGACAAAATCCATGGTCACTGACCCTCTATAGTCGTTTCCGTTGTCGGTTGGGGCACTGCGAGCATCAAGAGTGACTGGTCATGGCGATCCATCACCTTCATCCAGGCCGTCCCTTCCATCATTCAGCTTTGCGGTATCTGGTGGGTTCCTGAGTCGCCTCGTTTCCTTATCAACAAGGACAGATCTGAGGAGGCTCTCCGCATTTTGGCTAAGCACCATGCCGGCGGTGACGAGAACAACGCCACGGTTCAGTTCCAATACCGCGAGATCAAGGAGACAATCCAAGCCGACAGCGCTACCAAGTCCACTCGTTACATTGACTTCTTCAAGACCCGGGGTAACATGTGGCGTCTTGCTATTATCATCTCTCTTGGTATCATCTCTCAGTACTCTGGTAACGCTATTTTCTCCAACTACATGGATATCATTTACGAAGGTGCTGGTATCAAGGAGCAAAACCAGAAGCTTGCTGTAAGTTCTTGCATCCCATCACTCAGTCACTACTTTACTGACTAGTCTTTCTTCACTAGCTCTCTGCTGGAAAGACCATTCTCGATCTGGCTATTTCTATTGGTGCTGCCTTTACCGTTGATAAGGTCGGACGTCGTCCTCTCTTCCTTCTCTCCATCACTGGTATGGTTTTCGGTTTCGTCTTCTGGACCATCACCGGTGGTATCTATGAGAACTCTGAGTATGCAACTCCACCCACCAAGGACATGCCTAATGGTGGTGTCGCATACTCCAACAAGGGCGCTGGCTTTGCTCAGATCGCTGCTGTCTGGATTTTCGGTGTCTTCTACGACATCGGTTGGTCTGGTCTGCTCGTCGCTTACGCCCTTGAGGTCCTTCCCTTCCATCTCCGTGCTAAGGGTATGATGATCATGAACATCACTGTCCAGGCCATCCTCGCCATTGGTAACCAGACCAACAAGGTTGCGTGGAACAACATGCCCAACCACTGGAACTTCATGCTCTTCTACACCCTCTGGGACTTCTGCGAACTTGTCTTCGTCTACTACTTCTACGTTGAGACCAAGGGTCCCACTCTCGAGGAAATTGCCCGTATCTTTGACGGTGACGACGCTGTTGCCCACATCGATCTCGCCCAGGTTGAGAAGGAGACCGCTATTATCCGCCATGAGTCAATTACCGAGTATCCTTCTTCCAAGGCTTGAAGTAGTTTTGTGTAAACTTTACGACTACGGCTATGCTCGATGTAGTTATTTGACATCAGGCAGCCCATGCGACCTTTGACGGGATTATCTTTTAGCAAGCGTGTTCTCATGTAATAGCGTTGGATGGTACCTTGACGAACCGAAAGGTCAGAAAAAGCAAAACACATATTTCTCTATACCATCGTCAAGTTTTCTACAAGCTTTATATTACTTTCTCTTCCTCATTGCTGTCTTATCATTGCCTGTGACCGTATGATATACCCAATCATTGTGAAATTCTTGGTCGACTTGACTAGAGTTTTATGTCTATGATAGCTTCATGTCCTCGTTGTGCTTAATCGAAGAAAAACTCAATCTATCTTTTCGGTCTCCAGTGTCATCCAATTTCTACTTTCTAAGCTTTCTCAATGTCTTTATCAGTTCAACCCTTAGTTTCTTCTCATATCCTGAACCCCACGTCCAACCGATACTCCCATCCAGCGCATGCCACCTATGAGGGTTCTGATACATAACGTAAATGCACAATTCTACAAAGGAAAAAGGTGGAAGTTTTTGAATCTCCTATACCACAACCACGGCTAACCTTCTTCTGGAGTCCACAACATAGGCTCTGCACATATTTGAGAGCGCGCAAAAGATCGATACCGATCGAGAATGTCAGTTTGATCCATCCCTGCGCGCTGACTTCCAAAGCTATAATGAGCAGCGACGCCTCTTCCATCAGCAACAGCATCTATAGAATCTATTAGTAAAGTAGTTGGCCATCGGGCTGTGTTCACTTACGTCTTCCTAGCGCTCGTGGTACGGCACATGTGAAATAATTCTCGTCGTCTGCTTCGATCGGTTTGGCACGATTGATGTCTCGGCCTAGCAAGGCAACGAACTGGATGCCCATTCTCTCGTACTGAAAGTCCCATGTGCCGAACTTGTAAGCGGATAACGTCTTCTTCCAGAGGTTCTCAAAGAAGCTGAAGTGTTCTTGTGCGCCAATCTTCCACTCGGTCCAGCCGCGGCCCATGGGGTTATACTCTGTCGTCTCAATAGGCGTTGAGTCAAGAATGTGATCCTTCCCACCGTTGTCGAGGGGCAGCCAGCGGTGCTTGGTACCTTCAGGTTCCCATCCCTCAAGAGAGAAAGCCTCGGGGCCATTCCATGGAGGAAGATTCAGAGGGCTCCATTCTTCCTTCTTCGTACCAGAAGATTCTACTGTTAAAGTCTTACTGGAGGAGTCAATTTCGGGAAGATAAGGTCGTATGGCACCGAGATTCCAGTGTACCCAGCTAAGAACTGGTTGATTGACGACGTTTGCCGAGACGATATAGTATTCGGGGTGATCCACCTTCTTTTTGACGATTGATGGGATGACACTGTCTTCCATAAAGACCTGCGTGCGTTAGTACACATAGCATTCCCAATTTGAGTAGTGGACTTACAATATCGTCGTCGATCTTGACGTACATAACATTGTCTTCAATCCGGTCGTAAGAGTTGGCGAAACCGTTTGTGAAGTTGTCTTCATCAGGCATATCGATCTGCCACTTCTCATATGTATCCTCGCTTTTGATGAGCTTTTCTAAAAGTGCAAGGTCCAAGGGATCTTTGGTTCGTTCCACGAATATTACTCCATCAAGTAGACCTCCGTTCTTGACGAGATTGCGCTACGGGTGTCAGCTCCCTCGTATATCATCTGGTGTGCATGGAATATAGGTACCTTGAGATAACAATCCAAGATTGAGACCGTTTGTCGTCGTCCATAAAAGACAAGACCCATGACCTTGTCGACACCATGGGGCTTCTCCCAGTATGCTAGATCATCCATGTTTTCTCCATTTGCTGACCAGAACCGTGGAAGTGTCTTGGAGTCTTTGTGGCCTGCGGGCTTCTTAGAGTTGGGCATCGGTATCGGCGGTAGCGGTTCGAGAGCGAGGATCTGAACAGCGACTATATCCCTCTGTCTCCATACCGTGGTAGCCATCATCAGCATTACTATAACGGCACATATTCCGACATAGCTTCGTGTACAGTTCAGTACCCTGGTTGGGCCGAATGGGGCTGTAGTTGACGGTTGTGACGATTTCATTCTATTTGCTAGTTGTCAAGTCAAACGTGTCAACTTCTGGTGCAGACTTGGCTGGAAGGCCCTTATGTCTAAGTAGTCGGACAGCGTCATAGGCCTCCGTGTGGTCGACGTTCGAGGATTACCAAGCAACACCAGTCCCGTCAATTAAGCTTCTTTGCGTCTGAGATAGACAGAGAAGCCTTTCCATTCTAGTAAAGATCGGGGTCCATCATGGTCGAGTCCCTCACTCAAAGGGGGGCCGGAGCCGATGTGGGACGTCTTTGGTGACGACCGACGATGTTATTGTCCTATTGAAACTGCTCGCTCCACGATACACGGAGCACCGGCACGACCCATCACGGGGAGTTGTCGCCTGGTGCATGCAACCGTCGTGAAGTCATACGCCTCACGCCGTTTTAGGCCTTGGCTTTCAGGAACGATAAGCCAGGTACAAGAAGACTTGACACTTGACATCGGCATGGCCGCCGATCTAGTGTCTGTTCCGGATAGGGTAACGTGGGAAGAGTGCTGTGATAGGTGTCAAGATGTTGTGCACTTCGCAAGCATAACCAGCCATAGAAGTGCTGGAGTCATGGTACCTTGATTCATCAAAGATTACCAGGTGCCGGTTCAATTGAGAACAAAGCGTTTTTGAACTCTCTGGTTGCAACAAGAGCCAAGAGAACCCAGACTAGAGATTGAAGTGGTCTTGGGAAACACTGGTGGCTGGATGTCTCGGTCCAAAAAGCTCCGAGACATTCTTACCCGATTCCTCAGAACATTTCGAGTTAAGGGGACGGAAACAGCGCGATTATATCACGCATAGGTTGAGATCGTAACATTGAGTGGTACGAAAACGTCGCTAATCTCAAAAGCCTGTGGTTGTGTTGGTGTTGTGTTGGTTCGAGGTTCCTGGCTAATGCATGTGATAATGCTGATCATCCAGGAACTTATGCATACTAGATTCGGCTATCACTTCCGTGGCCATTTTCGGTACAAGTAGACTTGTAACTGACGTATCCAACAATCATTACACCCCCTTCGTCTGATTCGAGATAGCTGTGCATTGCTTGTTAGCTCTATCTCTAGCAACTAAGATGAAAGGTTCTGAGACATTGTATGCCCTTTTTATGGTGCCTTAGTCTGCTACTTTTAGTTCCAAGTGCGCAAGAGAGTCAATTGATGACTGGTTTTCAAAGCTCTGGGTCGCGATGCCACTAGGTAAGTCTCTAGTAGAAGATGTTGCCGAATTGAGTTGGTGTATCAAGCCAACATTCCAGACAATTCAAGTCAAGAGAAAATTGAGAGAAGTCAGAAGAAGTGAAGAAAGGACATGGTGAGAAAGATGATGAAGCATTTCTAACCAATGTGTACAGTGAAAATACGTTGCTAACAACATGATCATCTGTTTTTGGCGGTTGGTTGCCGTTGTACAGGTCTTCTAAGAGACCATAATTGGGTACGACTGCATTATTGAGTACTTCAATCACTCCACCCATTTTATGGATACTTCAAATCCGTTGTCCACTTCTTGTTCTAATTATTTCCATATGTTGCCTTAGAATAGTTGTCGCAGTATCCGGCCTTTGAAAACTCAAGGTTGGTATAGGGTATCTTGGCTAACCATTGTACAGATGGCGAGTTCAATTAACAATGGAATAAGTTTACACGTAATTATCTGAGTTGTTCTATGTATCAGTATTTCGAGAACTGTATAAAGCTTACAGGACGATGTCGGGCAGTGGTGATAAGAGATTGAACAATACGCCGGTTTTGTGTGACACAAGCATAGCGAAATGCCCAACGTACAACCATGTTACAGACAAGATCACTTGAATTGCACCAACGCGATATTGATATAATTTCTTTTTAAGATTCAATACTATAAGAAACTTAAATACTATCATGAATACTGATTACAGGTCCAAATTAAAATCCTCCACTGGCATACCATTGATATCATCCCATGAAAACTCCCCTCATTTTTGTAAAACACTAGGAAAAAGAAGCGCCATGGTTAGGCCTCAATCGTCACCACCGAACAGAAAGAGGTGAGCGAGCCTTCTTGGCAACTGCGGTACTTGAAGGCTCAACAGTCACAACCACGGTGTTGTAGACGGTCGCTATGCTGGTGAAAACAAAGGAATCGCATCCAGTGGGATCAGCACCATAAACCTCAGTGTAGGTATTGCCATTACCATAGGTGAGGACCTTGGTGTAGACAGGGACGTTAGAGTTGTAGCCATTGCTGCCATCCTGACCCTTGCTGTTGTCGTCCTGATAGTCCTTGCCATCCTCACCAGAACCTGGGTATCCGGAATTGTCAGGTCCCTTGTTGTCATAACCGGTCTTGTCGTTGTCGTAGCCAAGGCGGCAGGGTTGGCCGTCTTCCTTGGTGCAGGTGGAATCGCCGGTCTCAGGATCGTAAACGATAATTTCGACTTCGGGCTGGCCTGTGTAGGTTGCAGTCCTAGTGGAAGTCTCGCAGTCTTCGTCTGTTGGGCTAGCGGATCCATGGCGAATAGGAGCTGTCAAGGTATAGGTGCGAGGAGCTTCAACAATGGTGGTCTCGTAGTCGCCGTTGTCCTTGGTGATAGTGCCGACGGTTGGTTCCGGCTTGACAATGACGGTGTAGTCCTTGTCGCCTTCGTGTACGGTCTTGGTGACGACGTAGTTGTTTGTGTTTTCGGCAGTGACCGTCTTGATGATCTTCTTTCCGTCTTCCAGAGTCATAGTCTTGACAACGGTGTTGTAGTCTCCATCCGTGTAGGTCAAAGACTTGACCTTTCCATCATCGATAACCGTAACAGTGTGGGCAGCATCGGGGTACTTGGCGTTATCGCCGTCGCCTCCATTGTAAACAGGAGAGCCAGCACTGGGAGCGGGGTATCCGTTGCTGATTGTGACGGTCTTGGGTCCGGGTTGGTATCCGTTGCCTTCCGAGTTTCCAGGGCCAGGATACACGTTTACTTGCTTGGTGACGATGCGTTCATTGGTCTCTGTCTCGGTGACGGTGACAACCTTGCCAGGTGCAGTGACGGTAACAGTCTGCTTGGGAGGATCAAGAGACTCACCCTGGCTAACGTACACGACCTTGGTCTCAGGCTTCTGGTAGTTCTGGGTGACAGTGACAGTCTTCCCAGGTTCGCCATGCTCTGTAACTGTGACGGTGTGGTAAGAGCCCTTGGGGTCCGACACAGTGACGGTCTCGTATAATCCAGCTGGCTTGGTGACGGTTACTGTGTGAGAACACTCTTGCTGCTCGCCTTCCATGGTGCACGGAGGACATTGCGCAATTGTGTCTCGTGCATACAGCCAGTCGAATCGTGCTTGAGCAAGAGGCACTAAAGCCAAAGTTGTCAATGAGGTAAAGCGGACCATTTTGAGGCTGGGTACTAGAAGAGAGGAAGAGTAAAAGGATTAGAGACTGATGAATCAATCACAATGATGGAGATGAGAGAAGTGTTGAGGATGATGAGAATGGATTCTGCCTGGACAAAACGCCCATCCTTATAGTTGTTGTCTTTCTCATACATCGTGAGCTGCACGAGCCTAGGGCAATGATAATATCACTACAAGGGAAGATAATCAAGGAGGATTATTGCCAAGTGCACCGGATGAAGGAGGTCCATGATGGAAAGACATTGGCAATAGAAGAGGGACAGGAGTAAGAGAGATCCCTTCACGGAGCGGGCCAGCAACAATATAATTGAATTGTGATGTAAAGGGAAGGAACAATTAACTGATAGACACTAGTCATTTGCCCTCGACAAAGGTATTGTTGGTGCTCCCTTATTCAGGGTTTCCTGATGTCAAGGGAGCGAGTATCAAGGGATGCAAGATAGCAAACGTCTGTACTGCAGTTGTGGGTGCTTGTCAAAGACTCGAAAGACGGTTTCAATATTTCTTGACAAAACTGAACAAGATCAAGTCATTGCCAAAGTGAGCAATGCCTTGATGGTGTTGCTGCTGCTGTTGTTGTCGCAATGTCCCAGTAGGACGGTAACGTGGCGGACGGGCCGGTGTTTACCCGGCATGGCCTCGGGTTCCTGAGGAAGGACCCACCATGCGAGTAACGTACGTCGTGAGGCAGGCGCGACACACGACGAAAGCATCACGAAGTCACGAGGCTGTACGACCAACCTACAACCTTCCACGCTCCTTAATACGTACCTTATCTCTTTCGCCTTGTAGGCCATGTTGATGCGATAGTTCTCGACCGACCGCGACACTCGCTCGATACCAACGTTTCCCTCTACGACTACGATCTGCTATGGGAAACTGTTTTTCGATTACGCCATAATGGGAGCTTGCGCATCATGTTTAGGAAGGGGGGATACCAATACTTATGATGAGGTATGTGTCAAGCCATACAAAACCATCAATCAGAACACCCACTAACCTTTGTTCTCGCAGGAGGAAGAGAGCCGCCTCCTTTACGACGAAGCCAATGGAATGCAATACGGCAGCTTTGGAGATCAAGCTATAAATGGAGAGAACGATACCCTCGAAGCTCAGCGCGAGAACGAGGCCTTACAGCGAGTCATCGCCAAAACCTCAGAGTACGTTGCTTTGGCCGATTTTGGAGCTTGGAAGATGCTAACACCGGCGGATAGTAACATGGTAGATATCTTCGATATCGCGCCGCAAGAGAATGGAAACCGTGGAACAACAACTCCCTTCGCTTATGCTGGCCAAGGCGCACGCCTTGCTCGATACCAGCATCTCGTGGCAAAGCTCAGTAAACAAGGCGAAAACACTCCTGTGAGCGGCGTCAAGGTGGACTGGTTGCCTGAAGACGAGACGATAGAGATGCAAAAGAACGGACCGGCTAGCATCAAGACCCTCGAGAGTGATGACGGACCCCTTGTGGGGACCTTTGCAGATGCTGCAGCGGCAATGCAGTGACGGCCGCATTTCTTCAACATACATACAAAGCAAAGTCCTGTTGTCGGAGGGGCTTCAAGCTGAAGGCTGCACACTGCCAGTGTGGAGAGTCGGCAGTTGCGGCGAAAAACTACCTGTTTCGTGATGGACGATCTGGGACGCTGCACACCGTACCTTTGAGTGTCCAAAACTCAACTCCAGAATGCGGAAGGTCCCGCTTGCCCAGTCCAGTTTTCTTTTTCATTTGGCTTGGTTCAACTTGGCTGGCATCTATCTTGGTTTAGCTCTGGAAGGGCGTGTGGGTGAAGTGGGAACGACAGAATGAGCACAAGGGACATGGGACGACGGACCAACCCATTTTCCTTTTATACTAACCGCAACTAATAAGGTCATTGCAGCCTCTCGATGTTTTCTGCTTCACAGAAACAGCAGAGCCCTTTGACCAGCAGAGATGGTCGCTGCACTGCATTGCATAAAAACCCGACCAGGACACGATTCCTGATACGGTGTCGATTTCTCTTGTCTCTTTTTTACCGTACATCTTTTTATGTTTTTATTAGTATTTTTTTCTGCAGGAACTTCTTTGATTGTTGTGGGTAGGAAGTGGACTTGTACAAACAGACACACCCAATCGAAAATTACAGAAAATTTCCCCCTCGTCTTATTGAGCTGGGCCCAGGGGACGCAACCCTAGTCCGCTTAGTGTTTCGACCCTCGTCATCAATCCATACCGTCGGCCTTTCATTCACAGTCTGCGACACATGGCGAGGTCGAGCGTTGAGCTAGAGAGGGTCTTGCAGAGTCAAAGCCCAGCTATTCATCATCCAAGTGTGACTTAATTCTGTTCAACGATAACACACCCATTAAGCAGCAGACACGTGCGCTCCCCTCACTCTGGCTCGCATTGACTTTGAGGTGGCCTGGCAGCCAGTGGGGTGGTAGCAGACGCTAGACCAGGGGACAGAGGTCAGAGATTCAAACAGGATGGGTGGCCGTCCCTCTAGCTCTCTAGCTTGCCGTCGGCCCTCGATTTAGATTGGTTTTCTCCGGCTTCGGCTCGCACCGTTGATGGGCGACTTGCATGGGTCCCCATCCACTGGAGACCTTTTGATGGATCTCTTTCGTCAACCCGACCAAGATCCCGTCCACGTCCCAAGCCTTCGGGAATTGCTTGAACAAGCTCTACGGCAGCCCTCCACCACAACACGACACCACGGGGGTCACTAACCGGTAGATGGGGGTGCGTTGAACCGTTCTAGGAACGCCATCACGGTGGGTGAATGGCTGCATTCTAGAGGTAGGCGCGGAACTTATCCAGACTCTCGGGTTAGGAGAGCCAAGTTGTCGGGAAACAAACCGCCCATCCATAAATAACCGTCTCTCTCTCATGAGACATTAGGCCCCTGAACCCCGTAGACGGGCGGTCCCGTCTCAGACAAGGCTCGAATTTACGTCAAGCAGGGGCTGCTCATGTCGGGTTGCGCCCAAGACTACGTACAGTTTTGTACTCTGGTACTCTGCACAAACTGAAAGTGTCTGTGTGTGAATAACCTAACGGACACTATGAGCGGCGCGGGTCAGGCCGGGACGACCGGGGCCTGGTGTGCAAGGGAAAGGTCGTCTGAGGCGGACAGACATGAATTCGACCAGTCAGATACGACACAGAATGGGCTCATGGGTTCAAATCCTCTGCGTCCACGTCCAAATCGTTCGCAGCGTTTGTGCAGGTTGGACAAGCAGAGCTCGCATTGGCCTTTCGTCACATGCTGTTGTTATTTCACCGCAGCCTCTCTTCTCGAATGTTTCTATGGGGAATGACCCTGGCCAATTCGACAGACCGCATTTCGAGAACAGAATGCCTGCAATTCTGGCACAGCTAAGCTCGCCTGGCTAATTAATTACCTGAGTCTGAGCCCTGATGATCAGTCGTCTCCACCCGCTGTCGTCGCTCACACTCAAAGATTTCTGCTTTTGTACTCTGCTCCTACTGCGCTTCCTTCCTTGGAACTGCACTACACAATACCGAGTAGGACTGGTAGCTGCATGAGAGCGTTCTACGCTCGTTAATTTTGAGGCCTCCCAGGCTCTCGATGCTACTGCTACCCGTTTATGGGCCGTTCTAGCACGTGGTTCGTTGGCACATAGTCGAGATCCTCTCTCGCGATTTAACAATCATGGCTCCCGACACGACGAAATACGACACCAAAATCGATATGCGCAACTATACGTATCTTATTCTATCATCGCCCCAACTCAACTCCGCGATCACCGACCACAATTCCAACCCCAGCTCGGCCCCCGCCTCGATTTCTACACACAGTCCTCCACCAGCTCATATCGGGCAATCCACCCGATGTATGATGGTCTGTAAACTTTGACTATTCAGCTAATAGTACACGCGTCGTTGTATACATCAACTAAACCTACGATACTTGAGAGACATGTCTCGGACTGCCATTCTATAGTGGGCAGTTTGGAACGGTAAGCCACAAAGATGATCTGAGACATTTGGGGGCACCAAGTCCCGATGCCGCTTGATTTGAGCATGAGCACACCGGTAATTCCGCATACCTTGCTTCCTATTCGATGACGAAGGGTTTGGGGCTCTCTAACCCATAGGTCCCCCAAGCCCCGGCAAGACAAGCATATGCCTCAATGATTGCTCAATGATTGCTGGATGACTTCCCGAATGACAGAGCGCCTGTCATGATGGAAAAATAATTCGATAGATCCGGTTGGTCTTTCGTTGTGCGACATTACCTAAATATACAATGTCTTGAAGGTGGTCTGCTTTCTCTTACTATTGTCGTATTTGGTGTGACTGAGAACCCTTTCCAGCCGACTGCGTCTACATCGGCGGCATTGTTCGGTCATGTTTCCTCAACTGATATCTCTTGTCTCCTCATGCCATCTCCTACCACACAACTTGGATAATAAAACGCTTATCCTGTACCCTCCCCTGGTTGAATCATCATGGCACAGGCGCTCTTGGTTCACGATACATAGCTCACAGATGCCCCAAATAATCTGTGTCAAACATAGACTCATCCTCGTTACTTGTGTGCTTGTGGTCCACACACCCCGGCTCCGCCTATTCATCCATGCACACAATGCTGGCACTGCCACCATCCTCCGTCGGCAATTTCTACTGACTGACCCTGTTGGTACCGTCGAGGGCGGTAGATAGACTACGATGCATAGCTGATATACGATCAGCCCTGATCCAAGATAGATGGAAACAAGAATGACTTAAAGATAGAACGCGCTAGATTGACCTATAATTCCACCTGGTTTGCACCCGTGGATGTAAAGAAATAATGCATACAAACATAACTTGGCTGCCCCAGGGGGTTCAAGTTTCGTCCCACAAGCTGCTCGTGCATACCCCCGATGCCTGCCTGCGGTTTCTTCTCGTCTTTTGACCTTTTTAACTTCTGCCCCCCTTCTCGTCTCGTCTCGTGGGTCTCACGAAACTCGGCTAATACCATGGAATGTTGAAAGGAAGATGATATAAAGAAGAAAGACCTATCTCTTCTAACGAATGAAGAGTGTAAAGCTGAAAAGAGCATAATTCATTCTCAAAAATTGCCGCTCACGAGAGAGACCGTCTTGTCGTTCATTGTCCGTCCTTTCTTCTTCTGCCCCTCTTTTGCTCTTGGCCGAACTCCATCTTTCGGTATCAACTGTAGGTAGCCCTTTTCGTCCGTCTCGTCTCGCGCGAATAGAAAGCAAGGGTGTCATAATCATCATCATTATACGATAACACATGTATCGATGTCCTAGTAGAGCTCTGCCCTACCGCCCGCTCCCTGATCAAGGTTCGCTGCCTTGTCAGCAAGACAAAGCAGAGTAAAGCAGCACAGTTCGCTCTGCTCGTTTGGGATGTCATTTGCTGGCGAATCGGTTTGAGATATCGTCATTTTACTGCAACAATAGGGTTAGTCAATCGCTCACAATCTCTGTATCTGACGGATGCCCGCCCAACCCCAACACCCACAGCCCACGCTATATGCAAGCAACACCACCATTACAGCCCAGGCACACACCCTCACACCCCTTTTTGGCTTTCCCGTCCCTCTTTTGCTTTTCTTCTGGGGGTGTTCATTTCTTCTCTTTGCGCCCATTGCCTCTTGTCGTCTTTCTTTGGGTGTGTCTTCTTCACTCCAAGGGAACAGACATAGAATCAAGGTAAATAATGCTCCAAACTCACCTGGCCAAGCGTCCGTAGCCTTTGATCATGCTCCTCTCGCATACGGTAAATCTGTCCCAGCACTTCCTGCATCTCTCCGCACGTCCGTTCAATAGTGGCATTACGATTGCCCTCACGTTGCCAGCGTTGAACATCGCGATACATCTTGTCATATCGGCGCTGTTTCTTTTCAGTATCGTGGCAGAGTTTACAAACTTCGCGCTCGTCTTTGGTTTCGTAAACAAGTTTTAGCCCGCACGTCTCGCCCATGCGGTACTCTTTGTTGCACTGCTGGCGGAAGTGGCCCCAACGCCAGAAGCCGCATGTCCAGCGAGTCTGCTCAAAGTAGCACATGGCTGAAGTGTAGTTGTGTGTTGGCACAGGGCCCAGGGCGGTTGTTCAAGAGTGAAAAGAAGCAGGGCGTCTCTAACTGGCTGGACAGAACAGGATAAGTAGCGGAACGACCGAAGGCGGAGAGCGGAGTCTAGGAGGCGAACTTGTAGTCGATGCGAACCGAATCCCGAAGCTCAACTCGCCCAACTATCGAGTCGTATCGAAGCGATCCAGGAACAGTACGGTACAGTTCAGCAGAGACGAGCCGAGCGTATCAATATAATCGAATCGAAATAGTGTGAGCAAGTCAGGGCCGAGTTTCTTGTCGAGAGGAAACCTAGAGTGCCGCAGGTCAGTCACTGGTATTCCTCCACTGTCTATGTTCCGTATGTGCCTCCTTTTCGCATTGGGCAAACTCATTTCTTCCCAACCCAAACCTTCACCTTCGAACCAAGGTCACCAGGTTGTCCTGCCATATAGTCGACCTCTGAAAGCAGTATTTGACCACGATGTTGGAGGGGACCAAGATACAAGGTATAGTTGATGGTCGCCGTAGATAGCATTTAGAAAACTCAGACATTTGACTTACCTGTGAAGCGATCACTGGTGTTGGACAGGCTGCTACTGGACCCAGAGTAGGTTCAGTCCTTTTGTAGTGTAGACTGGTAATTGTATCGAAACAGTTTTCTGATTGTCGGTGTTTGATGTAATCGGTAGTCTTGGTTCTGTTTTATGGAGTGTTGGAGCCGTTATCTGTTCGTTACAAACAGAAAACAATGAAAACAGTATTGTGTTTGTTGACTATTGTAATGGCCGGCCGTTTGCCTTTCTGTGCTGTGCAATGCTTCTCCGGGTTTGCAAAACAGAATTGAGTCCAAGGTGAGCTGGGCTGGATCTTTAAGAGTGATGTTTGGTCAGATGCTCTAGGAGTTCGAGCTGTCGTTGTAATCTGAAACCAAACTTGTGCAAGAGGCACGGAGTGATGTATAAGAGTTCTCTGACTCGGACATAGTGGATGCTATAGCCATCTTATACTCGTTTGATCCAAAAGTCTCTTCATGTATTCGATCGTCGTGCTGTATATGGCATCCCACATCCACATGTGGGACTCCAGCACACCCAACAAGCAATCGCCTTCTTTCCTTGAACCCCTGGCCTTCACTTCAGGCCAGATTAATGGCCGTCCACTATTGTGCTTGTTCTTTTCTTCTGCATCTGCGTCTGCTTTTGTTCCTGCGGGATAAAGAGGCTTGCCTGCATGCGGCGATTGGGTATCCGTACTTGAAGTCCCAAATGGCTGTCTTTTCATCTCATCACAGTGTACTCTTGACCACAAAAGGTGCATTACGTTCACCCCTCACCCGCTCTAATTCACTCTCACCTCTTTCATACTGCTGCCGCGCGACGTACCGCGACTATTTGATGGCTCTAGCCTTGAACTACGCGGTTCCTGAGTCTCGATGTGGTGCTGAAGCAACCAATCCGTGGGTGTGTTTCCTAAAGACCCTGCAGCATGTCTATCGACGTTAGAGCCGCCTAACAGCGGCCACTTGCTGTCCTAGACTTGAGTTGACTCTAGCCTTATGCTACACATTAGGTCCGGCGTCATTCTCTAGGTCGAATACTGCCAGCCTCGACCGCGCTCCTGCTGGTCAGTGCCTCCTCCATGGAGGAACAGCCAGAGCTTTGGATAGTGAAGTCCCGCGCCATAGTCGACTACATGGTATTAGAGCCCGGTGGTCGCTTGCCACGTTGAACTAGGCCTAGAGTTCGATACACACACCCCTAGCGGTATCAGCAGCTACAGTGCAGCAAAGCAGGGTAGAGGTACGGGGCATCCCCACACCACAAGATGCTACTGCAGTATGCTGTGTGTACAGCACTCGCCATGATGCCGTGACTGCAGTGGAAGCAATGAAAGCAGGGCTGACGGGGTAAGAGTCTCTCGACAAACCCGCGGGGATGCGTAACTGAATTCCAATGACTGCATATACCTTTGGTGTGATTCAGTTTGCTTTTGTGGCAGACATTGCTCCTGTCCCAATTCACAATGTACCTGGCCAGATGATATACCCTTGGCCTCTCCCTTTACACAAACTCCGACATCTATAACAGAAATATGACAAGAGCTTCCTCTCGACATTCCTTTTCCCTGTCTGTCAACCTTTTTATTCAGCTGTTATGTATCAGTCTTGTCTGTGCTGAGCATGCGACTGTTCTGTCAACATTCCACAAGTCTTCCATGGCGCGCTCGTGCTAGCGAAGCCATGAGGCAGCCGGGTCACATAACCGGCCGTGTTATTGATAGGAGCCCTGTGCCCTTCCCGCTGCAGCCATGGCCTCGGCCGTGTTCCCCTCGAAGTCTTGTCCTAGTCAAGTATACATGAGGTGGTGTCTTGATCTGCGGCCGTGTGGGGCTTTATGGTTCGTCCCGAGGGCGGACAAGTGTCAGGAAACAAGGGGATTCTCATTGCTTGCACTCTTCAAATTGACTTTTTCGGTGAAAGCCAGGGCTCTGGTTCGCTGCTTTATCCTGCCTGTGCGTCAGGCCCTTGCGGACTCGAGCTTCATGGCACCGGCGGCCCATTGGTAAATCGACTGCAGGTCGAGGATCAGCCATTGGATTCTCTCATGGCCTACGACATCAAGTGCTTTTTACGACATCTAGTCGTTCTAATCTCACAAGAAAGCCTGTATTGGGCTTCATCGGCTTTCCGCTTTTAGTTCGGGACCCTACTGGGACCATTGGCCTTGCAAATCGCTTCCCCTACTCCAAGTTAAGTTCAGGTCAAGACATATTGTATGTTGCCACTTGATAAGGCCAAGTGTTGGCTATGTATGCCGTTCTGTACTTTCTCTTGTGCTTCTATGACCCCTAACTGATGGCTGTGTTTGTACAACTGAACCTCATGGTTCGGTCTCGGTCGGTTGCTTCCGTAGTTGCGCAGCATCTTCGTTTTTTTCAAGTGGCACGCCAGCATCATCACCCCGGTGAGCAAACCGTTGAAACCCAAACCAGCTCGAGAGGCGGTAGTAGTATTGGGCGAGCGCGATCACTCTCAGTTCCCACCGAGATAGTGAAGATGCCCGCCAAGAACACTTCACAAATAGCACTCAGCTGGGTACCAACCTCTCCATTGCCCCTATCGGCCTTTATTGACCCAAGGGTGTCAGTTGTACGTATCATTTTCGAGATGAACAGAGTGTGATTAGGTCTCAAACCCGACAACTGCTTGTGTGTCTTCGTTGCGGTGACGACAAACAGTAATAGGGGGGGCTTTGCATGGTTCTCGTGCATGGCTGCTGGCTCACATGAATTGATCCATTCGTCTCGCCACTCGGCCGTTGTCGTAGCTTCTGACCCTGAAAAGTCCTCTACCAAATGATTCTGTCGACATTCAAAGCAATCTGAAGACTATGCTGATGTGCACAAGTCACGTAAATGCACAACGTGGCATCACGCCTCTGGCTAAGGGTATAGCCAGGTCATTGCATTCCGTGGGCTTCCTAGAGAAGAAGGAGACTCAAATGCTGGTCGGTGATCAAAAGATACCGTTGTATCTTATTCCATTCATGCCCTCCAAGTCATACCTGCCGCCTCATTTGAGTCAGCTCATTCGAATAACGTCCCAACTTATCCGCATGCCTCTCTAGATGCAGTGCCATACCATGCAAAAGAACTATATATCACATCGACTCCGCTGGAAGTGCTTCAGGCGTTCGATTGGGGGCCAGGTAGGTCACTATGTATCTTTTGCCTCAGATTTCGATTTGGCTCCTGCGCCGTCAAAGGTTGCTCAAGTGCATACGGCACAGCTTCTGATAGAACAGTCAGCTATACGACAGCGTTGCTGATTGTGTGGTTGGTACATATCAACACCAGTTGTAAATACTTCGGGGTCGATGTATCGGGCTATGACACCCACGATCTGAGAGTGACTTGTTGCAATGCTACGCAGACATGCATGTCTCTGTAGACCGAACAAAGCATCATGCTATGCCTGGTCGCAAAGGATCATCTCGCTTCCAGTCTATCAGTGAGTGTGATAGCCCTAACCTGGTGATTAACACCTGTGGCATCAAACACCCAAGCCAGGAACGTGGCGGTGACAAAGTGTTCATCACAGGGTTCCTTGACAATGCATCTGAATACTGCTGAGCTGGCCTTCTGCTTCGGGAATGGCTTGCGTCTCGGAGGACTGACTCGTCCGCGATGACTTCACAGCCTGCATGGGATAATCAGTATGGGCGAACAGGGAGTCAGGTTGAGGAGAGCTTGATACTGGCTCTTGATATTGGGCATTGTTGGGCTCAACAGGGATGTATGTCAAGTTCTTGGTCTCTGTGGCTGGGATCGCAAAAGAGTGTACCCTTCCGCACATATATTGGGCGCCGGTATCTCTGTGCGTGTACACTCATTCATTTGGGTGGGTGGATGCACCAAGCGAGACACAAGATGTAAGCTCGCGTTTTGGGAGGGCTCACCATTTCTGAGCATCCGGTTGAGTGAAGTAACAAGAACGGCCGACTTGTAGGCCGGGGTCTGACTATCGTGGTGGTTGTGTATCAGGTGAATAACCTCGTTAGTCTTTGTGGGCACAAAGGCCGTTTGGATCCTCAAGACCTCAGCCTGATAACTACAACGGCCCGGTTGAGCGGCCGGGCCGGCCCGCTTCTGAGTTTTCATGCCATTGTCTCCGTTCCAAGTCGGGTCTTCCTTGGTGGTTCCTGGTGCCTTGGGACGTTCAACGTGGGTACTTTTGACAGCATTATGTTTCTCAACACTCTATACTGCTTCCCAGGGTGGTTTCTTACAAGCATTGCACATCGGTACGGGGTCGCTGTTGCCTGTTTCCCAACGGCATGGCGTACAACAGCAGTGATACAGAAGCAAGCTTAGAAGCCACTGCGGCGTTGAGGCTCCAATCTGGTCGGGTAAAGCTAGCAAGAAAAGCCTCGTGGTCGACAGCATCCAATAAGGGTAGAGTTTGAGAAGCCACGACCAAACAGTTTCTGGCTTGAGTCTGAACCAAACACCTGGGTTGCTGCAAATCATGTGTCTGAAGACCCCTGCACGGAGCCTGTTCACAAGTAACGAGACGGGTGTCCCCGATCGTACCTGGAGCCAATGGGGAGCTCGATCTGAAAGACTGTCGAAGAATTGAAGAATAGTAATTGGTCCAGCTTGACACTATTCTGCTTAGAAGCGCGCGAGACTTGGACTTGGCGTCTAACGAGCCCAATCCTTGCTCTTGCCATCTATTATTCCGCTCATCTGCACTCTAACGTTGTCCGAATTGGTAGAATGCCCTGATCGCGAGAACATGCTGAAGAGGGATGTTAAATCCTAGCGTTGCAGCCGTGTGGAGAGAGATATGACAAGCAGGGGGTCATTCAGGGGTCAGCGGCTGGAAAATGGGTCTCTGCCCGGCAGACGCGTTTCTGTTGTCGCCGCATGGATTGTTGCTAAAAGTGATGATTGGTCGGCAACAAGGTTCAGCGCAGCCACCCTGGTGAGGCTAAGATCTTTCCTAATGGCGCAAGATACGGATGACATACAACCGTCAATAAGGCTGAGGTCATATTAAGAACGTTCTTGCCATCAATTGAAACAATTCCAGTAGTGATTTCGTCACACTGGGTCTATGAGGCCCATTGATACTGCTTCGAAGTATGTAAATGAACGTGAATCAAGTACTGACGACGGTGCGCGCCATTCATATTCCATAGATCCTGAAGTGGAGTATGATCCTGCCCAGGCAATTTGAGTTAGACTCTCATAAGCCGCAAAATGGTTCTGTTGTAAAAGATGGATGCTATTCAACAGGCCAGAATTAGCGTCAACTTCCTCGGCAATCTGCGAGAGATCGAGGGTTTTGAGGCAACCAGAGACTTGAGGCATCGTATGGTACTGAAAATTGAAAGAGACCACTTAACAACAACCACCAAGATAATTGACACACCTGATGAATTTATCAATTGATCTATACCAGGCCTTCTGTCCGTGAGGGCCCAAAATCTGGCCCGCAGATTCAGGTGAGTTGATAAACACGTCACGGCGGCGAGTAAGCGTGTGGGTGTGAGAATAGTTCGATTGACTGTAGCAATTGACAAGAGCGGAACTTGCGTACAAAGAAATGTAATTTTCGTCTGCCTGAACTGCTTTTTACGCCAAGGTGTGAGCAAACGTGTACGCATAAGACGTACGCAGACCAGTGAAGGATGCGTAGCAAACAAATAACAGAAACAAAGGGCCATGTGCACGGCTACGTCAGTTTGAGCTGAAAGCCGCAATAAGTCAAAAGTTGCATGAACGTCGGATGTCATTGAGTTCCCGAGTACGCACGGAAATCTATCATAGATCTTCTGCCGGGCCTCTCCAGCAACGGATGGGAGCTGGTTGGGGTGGAGGCGTGCAGCAACAGTATGGCAGTAGGCAAGGGCGGTTTTAGTGCCTGAACTGCCAAGTGCAACCTTGTGAGACAGCATTCGTTCGTACGTCGAGGGAGATCTTCCGGGTGGCTGTGATGAACATATGCATGCGGAGTCAAATGTGTGATGCGATGTGATACGTATGATGTACTGCAAGTGGGTGTGCGTGCCTGCGGTAGCTTGCAGGAACAGTACGTGGACGGTTTATTTTGCTATTGCGTTGTCGGGTGAATGGGAAGTGATGTTTACATTGGGTTGTGATCGGTGGTAATGTTCGGGCTGTCAAGTTGAGGGCGGTGAGAACAAGATGCGAGCCAACAGAAATAATTCAGGGTGTTGGCCTGGAAGGTGGCCGGCTAAGGTAGGACATCACGTTGATGGATGTGGTGTTGATATGGAAGGTGCGACCTCGGGGGCGCGTCCGTGGGGGAAGAAGGAAAGAAGGGGGCACGGAATCCATGGAGATGGTAGTGGAAATTATGGCAACTTGGGCAATTTAATCTCTTTTGATATCAATGGAGGTGATGTCCTTCGAATCTGACTTATAGTGCTTACTTGAATGCAAACATGGCAGAAGGAATGGTTCATGATTTGCTCGTCTCTAATTTCCCCTATCCTATCAAGAGTTAAATGTTTGCTTCTTCAGCTCTCTTAACCACGATTCCTGGGACCAGTACTGCTCGTACCTGAATGTTTTGAACCGACCTATGGCAGGTGTCGCTGTATGCGCCTTCTCATTAGACTTCCCACTTGACTAGCAGACTTGGCCGCCGTTAGTGGCCGCTTACACAAACGCTCCCGCACGGTCCATGACCCTCTTACCCCATTTGTCCTTCTTTCTCCACTTGTTCCCCTCAACTTCAAGTTTCATCTCGAACCTCAACTGTCTCATCATTTCCAACGTTCATCTCTACTGTATAATCAATAACCTCTTACACTAACAGCTGCATAATACTCATACTCTGATACCCACACATAACTGAAAAGATCATATTTCCAGTCAAATTCTTCATATTAGACAAAACGCAATCAACAGGCTCTCGAGTTGGCACGTCACATTGAACAGCCCGTCTACCCAGCGCCTTACCCTACATAATTCAACGTTCTAGTCCTACATCAACGTTAAATCACTCAGACCACTCACTAGTGTTGGCAGCTGATATATTCGCTGTCAACTGGAGTCCTCACGCCACCCGGCCGATTCTCAGATTGTCTGTCTCCTCTCCCAATTCGGATCTCGCGGTCACGACTGACGGACGAGACCGACCATATCGGCGACCGCACTCCTTAGACTACGCGCCGTGTTTATCCCTCTTCGCGTTCTGTCTCATCGCCACTCCTCTCTGTTGTCGGATTCTCCATCATCCGTCTTGTTGCTTGATCAGAAATCCACTTCGACGCATCGTCCGTCACAGTTGTACATCAACTACCGCGATCCGGTCTGCTAGGTCTGCCAGGTCTGCGGAGCCTCCATCAGGCAGTACGTGTGACGACCTCTTGACACTTGCTCGACGACAATCGGGTTCCCTCGCCTCTTGTCTGCGTCTTCCCGCCTCCCCTGAGCTTCGTGATTTGGACCCCTCTTGCTTGAGAGTTGTCTCTTGACACTCCCACCACTCACACCCTGCTCTCTGTCGCCTGTCGCGCGCCGAGCATCAACACCAAGTCATCATGGAGGCTGTTGCCACATCCTCCGACCAAGTCACTTCAAAGGTAGATCAGATGTCGGCCGTGTCACCCCGTTGCGGGAATGCCAACTGTTTAGCTCTAACCGAGGACGGCAAATCTCCCAGCCCTGCCACTTCAGTCATCACTGATGCCCGATCAGACGTCACCCCAGTGAATTCCAGCCTTGCTTGGGAGGCAGCCTACCCGGCCTCCTCGATTATGGCCAGTTGTTCTATCTCCTCGCTTCTGAGAAGCACCAAGAGTGGTATCAGATTGCCGGAGGCAATGGTCCAGCATCAGTCTCTGGAAGATCTACCTAACGAAGTCTTGTTTCATATTATGGGCTTTCTGGATGTAAACGACCTCTTGTCAACGTCGAGGGTAAGTAGTGACCATCTACTGTCAGCAAGAACGCAGTCCACTCCCTAATGGCATGCTGGAGATAATCGTACATACAACCTGAAAACTATCCCGATGACCCAAGGTCTTCGAAACTTGAGGCTAATAGAGAAGTAGACAAGCCATCTCCTTCGCGATATCTCGCAAGCTCCGATTTTACATCATTATCGGCTTCAGCAAGTCAGAACAGACCTTACATCGCGTCTTGTTTCGCCATCTCGCCCTTCGCTTGCTGACTTGATTGCTCGTTCCATTTTCAGAACAAACACTTCCATAGTTTCACGACGCCTGGCTCGTTCCCTAGTCTCAATCCGCCTATCTCGCCGTTTGGCAGCAAGGCCCTCGGCTGCGTCTTTAGTTGAGCGCTCGGTATTGCCCAAAGAGTGTGTCCCTGGCATGACGCCCGTACATATTGCACCAGCAATTGTGGCCAAGAAGAAGGCTGTCGAGAAGGAGAAAGTCAAAGATGGACTTCGGCAATGGATTGCATCGCGGTGGCGGCGTGAAGTCAGAGAGCGCCAAGACGGCGTAAGAAAATGGGAAGAGAGCCGTGGGACAGGGCGTGTATGGAGACTGCGTAGGTTCTGGGAAAGAGTCAGTCGTGGTGAAGAATGGGATAGTTCTTGGTAAGTGAGTGATGGTGACTTGTGTAAGTGAGTGAGTGGTTGTAGTGCACCACACGGGATCTCGTTATATCAGCTACTCAGACCATAGTGCTCACCATCGAGACTGATTCCCTCTTGTAATTCATCGCGGCAGTAGTCACAATTGGTAGAAACTTCAGCAGTCAAGATGACGGCTCTCGGCAACGGCCCTAATCCTGTTGGCAGGACTGTTGATATGATATAATACATTATGTAGGCTTTGATGATGTTACAAAATTCGCAAACTCCGTCTCTTACACCGAATTGGTTAAGGTTCCTGTCCGGGGTTCTAGCAGCAGTACTTGGTATTCATATTCAAGTGAGGAGCCTCATTCATGCTGTTCGGAACCGGAAGCCATCCCAATCATCATCGTCTTCTTCGTCATCCTCGTCCTCGTCATCCTCGTCCTTCTCCTCAATAACTGATGTTTCCGTATTTTCCTTGCCAACACCAGCGGGTTTCTCAGGTTGGGCATCTTGACTGATGCTTCCTCCGCGTTTGCGCAAAGCCTCTCTCTTCTCTTTTAGACGCCTCACGCGGGCCTCAAGTTCTTCCATTTCCTCGAACTCTTCCTCCAACGCGCGGGTCGCCTCTTCCTTTTCATCTTCTAGGTCGGCGTCCGCCTGGGCGCGTTGCTTCTCTGCTTCCTCCTCCTTCTGGGCGTCTGCAGCGGCAGCTTCTTCTGTCGTCATGGCGGGGGCAGAGATGACCGCGTCTTCGTCAAAGGGAGCTGTTGTAGCAGCAATGTCGGCTTCGAAAGCTGCCCACTCTGCCTCATCGACTGCTGCTGCTGTGGTGGCTGGTCGCTCGTCCGTCGCCAAGCTACTAGGTCGGCGTGAGGGCAGTGTAGTGGTTCCATTTTGTGAGGTAAGGTTATTAGACTGTCCTCCAGGGGTGGAAGCTGAGGAGCCATCTCGGTGGGCAGGGGTTGCGGGTCGCGATGGGATCTGTATTTCGATTCCTTGTGATGGCGTCGTCGATGTTCGTCTGGTCAATCGAGGCGGTGTTAGAGTTTGGTCCTTAGTATCTCCTTCGGCATCTTCTGTCTTGTTTCGTTTTCGCCTGCCCTCGTCCATCTCGACATCCCCGTCCCCATCGTCGATAGCTTCTTCGGTATCGTCGTGTTTTCGTTTTTGCGCAGCCTGTTGTGGATTGCGTCCATTTGAAGACGCTGCTGTTTGTGCTTTTATCAAGCGAGTTTTATGCGCCTCGCCCCGAACATGCGAGTCCCATAGCGTCTCAGTTTTGATCTGCTCGTGGCAGAGGGTACAGAGGAGCTTGCCTGCTTCGGAGTAGGCAGCACAGGGGTGTTCTATGCGACGGGCGGCGCGCTGTTGCCGCAAAAGAGATCGTACGTCCGACATTGGTATGGATTATAAAGGTCGCCCGTAATATAGGTAAGAAAGAGAAATGGTGCAGTGTGTGGTGACTCCAGGTCGAGAAAGGTTCTAAGGAAATGCGATTGCTACTGTTCAGATGCCTAATTGATCAAATCGGTAACGACCAAATGAATCCCAAGGAAAATGGCTTAGGATGAACAAGTGTGAAGCGAGAGAATGGAAGAAAGTAGTAAATAAAGGGTATGACGTTGGAGATTGAAGACTCAGGGTCGTCGAGAGGGTAACAAAGCGAGGTCAGCAACCGCCGACGATTATCCGGCGCAAATCTAAAGCTTAGGTATTCCATGAGTTGAAGATGACCTTTAATATATTCCTACATTTAGTGAACCCTTGTCACATTATCCTTCTCTATCTAGAGAGTATCATCCTCTAAATAATACAGACGCATCTGTTGGCCAAGCTCTCAGGGATTTTGACTATAGTTACATTCACGTGGATTCCAAGCATTCCTTCCCACCAGGCAGTTTCACTCCCCCACCAAAAGCTAAGCTACGCTTGCAGGTGCTCAGAAGAGCCGCATCTTTAACTCGCCATCTCATTGATTTTTAACAACTGCCTTCTCGATTGACTTTCAAGACGGTTTCACCTCAAAAGCTCGCAAGATGGCTGAACAACAACAGGAGGCGCAGCCTCTCTCCTCCATGTTCCCTAATCCGCCTCCCTTTTGGCAAGAGTTTACACCAGATCGGATATCGCGTATTGAAGAATTAAAGACACCATATATCGCCCAGCATGGTGGAGATCCCATGACGGTTCGAGTACCCGATGTTCCTGAAGATCTCGTCAACTTGCAACCACCAGCTGAGCCGGCGGATGGGCGCTGGCGCGTGTTTGGTGACCAGTACATGGTAAGCTTCCTCGACTGCGTCTTTCCCTTCATGTGAAAGCTGACCGAAGTTCTCTAGCTTGATGATAAGCTCCCAACTTTGGAGGACCAGGGCATCACAAATCTCCCATCAACATCACAGTCCGAATCCAAGGACGCCAAGCGATTTGACCGCGCTTTTGAGCTTAAGCGGCTAGCCAAGTCTCTTCTCTTGAATTTCCTCGAGCTTTCTGGCATATTATCACAGAACCCGTCGCATGCTGAAGCCAAGGTTCAAGACTTGCGCACTCTATTCATCAACTTTCATCATATCTTGAATGAGTACCGGCCACATCAAGCACGAGAATCTGTCATCGCACTCATGCAGGAACATCTTGATCGTACGCGCACTGAAACCATGGCTATTCGCACACAAGTGGACAAGGCTCGCCGAGTGCTCGATGGCCTGGGAAGCTTGAGTGTGCCTGACGTGCCCAAGGCTTTGGGACAACAGACTGACGAGGAAGACTGGGATGCGCTTGCGAAGCAGAGAGAAGCGGATGTATGGGCTGCGACAGATGCTTTGTTTACTTGAAGACCAAATAATTAGATGGACCAGCTGAGTCCTCAGAGTTGCTTTTTCGTTTATTAGGAGTTGCAGGGCACACATCGACCTCCAAAAGGCGCGACAAGCGAATAGTTATTTTACAAGATCACCTCTATCTTATGTTGAACATGGGTGTGCTGGACTGGGCTTGAGTCCCAATTGTGTACTCATTTCTGAGGCGAGAGGCATTGCTTATGATTGGGTAGACGAGAATACGAATATGCGAATTACGTCTACCTACAGACCTACAGACCTACAGGACATGACCAGTTTTTAGAGATATGTTAGCACTAGATAACGATGCAAATACACAAGAAACAAGATGTTAAGTAGTAAGGTCGATCATAAATTTCGTTTCGGTCATTGAGATGGCTATATAAAAGGGATCGCAGCAATAGTGGAAAGGAGTGGCTACCATAATAATACGACGGATATTACTAGGTAACCCAAAGACAAACCCGAGAAAGGCAACAGCGTCATCTGACAGCAAAGAGTAGTCGACCTATCATTATACACCAACTACCCTTTGCTGTAGCATTATGATCTCTCCCCTTGTGATCTTTCCAACGACGCGCCATCGTTTCCAGCAGAGTTCCATCGCTATCGCATAAAGTATTCGAAATGCGACACTGCGCTGCGAGTTGGGAGTCCCCATTTACAGAATGGTGCAGGGAATGCAGCAGCATTCGTAGTCACCGCATTCGATGCACTTCGTCTTGGTGCCTGTGGCCTCAGAGGGCTTGATGATGGACTCGGCGATCGAAGTGGCGGCGCTTCCGGGACCGTTACGGTCGTAGAGACATTGAGAGGATCCGCAGGCCATTTTGGATATTGTTTAAGTGCTGATAGAAAGAAGGTGGAGTGGATCTACAGTAAGCTGTTAGTTTGCGAATAGCTTCAAAGCCAGAATAAGCCTACATATGTGCAATTGCAGTGAGAGATGTCGATGGGAAGTGTTGATAAAGATGGCAGGTTTGATGAAAGTGAAATGAAGGTGAGGAGGATCGACTTTGACTTGGAGCTTGGGCCAATACTGAACCATGCATGTACCTAATTATGCCCAGGAAGCAAGCGCCTGCCGTGCCATTGAATACCTGAGTACGTACGTGCCACTATTTTTGGACAATGCCATTGCGTCACCAACTGCTGTGGGGGTGGGTTTCAAGTCTCAAGTCCCAACGTGTGTACCCTGGATTTGTGCCGATTGTTCTTGGCAGAGATCGATCCTTCAACCTCAAGCTAAGCCTCGGCAGCTACCGCTCTCGGCAGTGGATGGTTTTGTTTGAGTGAACAGTGGGATTTTTATACGGGCACAAAGATTCCACTTATTGATCTTAATGCTGTTGTAAGAATTATCTTGCAGTATCATCAACCAAGGTCTATCCTTTCTCAAGCTTTATGATGTACACCTCAGATCTGACCTTGCATGTAATTGTCAAGAAGCCTCACAATAAAGCCATGAGCTTACTTGAATAAAGTGACGGTGTAACGATGTGTATTTATATGCAATTGATATAAGATATCTCTTGACTTCCTATGTATCTTCACTAGTCTATCTGGTGGCAGGGCACTTGGAGCTACATGCAATAGAGATGTCAATTCAGCCAATGTTGTGGAATATAAATCTCAAGATATCTAAGAGCCATAAAAAGTATTTCATGGGAATCATTGAACGTCTTTAGTCAAGAATCACATGAATGGTTTTGAAGTTCCGAGGCTGATGTCATAGACACCAAGGTGACGATCCTCTGACAGCATGAACGTGGAAGGATGCTGTTCTTAAGTTGACTGCTCCTTGAGTGATGCATTTGATGCTTTCAACCTACCTCCACTAGAATCATTCTGACCAACGACTGTAACTGCAATCATGTCGACAACTCAACCCCCAGGTGTCACTTCACCACCTCAAACTGAACAGGAGCAGGTTGGCAACCCAGCAACCAGAAAGAACAAGCATACTAACTGAATGGCTACCAGCGCAATATCGACCTCTGCAAGGAGTACATGCGCATTGCTTACTCTCCAAAAGAGAACAAGGGCGCAAAGTCAGTCCAACATCTCTGCCACCCAGACAGCTGGTTCTGGGCACCTGCCACATTCCCGGGCTGCGAAACGCCCATGGACTACGCAGACTCTCACTCAACCGTCATGGCCAGTGTCTCAGATCTCGAAATCATGCGCTTCGACCAGTCATGGGCCAAGGACGGACATGTTCTGCTGAGATACACAGCCCAGGGCAGTCATTGCGGAGAGCCGTACAAGGGCATCGAGAAGACGGGCAGACATGCACAGTGGTGTGCTGCCGCGATATTCGAAGTTGAGGATGGCAAGATTAGAAGTTTTACAAAAGATTGGGATCAAAAGACTATGCAGGTAAGAAAATTCCATCTTGGTCTTGATGACGGTACTGACTTGTGTAGATTCAGCTTGGATGGGCGCCTGTGCAGGAGAGTGATGATCCAAGATGGAACATCAAGGCATTGAGCAACCCCGAAGAAGCCAGGAAGCAAAAGGACTAGGTCCATAATGGAGTTGCATAGGGCCAGATGAATAAATCCTAATCTACCTTCAGAATGATTTGGGAGTTCAATGGTGCATGACCGTAATAACAATTAGAAAAGGTAGAGTATATATGTCAAAGTAACAGAAGTTCTGATACATACGACCATACC